GGCCAGTCTTGGAGCACGTGCAGATCGCCACACGCTGCCCTCCAGGAGTCCAGGTGTCAACCCAGTGATCCTGGAGGACGGCGTTGCTCACCAGGTTCGTAGAGAACGAGGGAACGTGGAGACCTGACAGCTCACCAGACGAGACCGCTGGGCACGGGAGCACAGTCGTGGCTCGTGCAAGCACTGGGCCCCCAGAGGGGTCAGCCAGGGAGACAGGGACAGGTGCAGGGAGGGGAGTGACGGTGGTGCTATCGCGAAAGAAACAGCGGGAAGCACCAGAGTCAAGTGTAAACGTGTGCAAGGCCTGAGCCGACTCAGTACCAAGGGGAGCAGACTCACTAGCACCTAGGGCTGCAGCCCTTATACCGGGGTCAATACCAGGGTCAGGCGGCACACACAAGTAGCAGTCACCCTCAGCACTAACAGTCAATGCATACATGGCAGCAAGAATAACATCATAGTCCAGATCAAAGATAGGCACATCACGCCTAAGCAGCTCTGCCCAGTTGGGGAACTCAGTAGCATCAGGATACTTGGTACGCCAGGCGTCACTAAGCCTAGCAAAACAACGATACTCAGTGTGAAAACCGTTGCAGGGGCGACCCTTGCGGGGGCCAGTACGAATGACATAGGGGCAGCGGTCAGAACCCCGAGACGCCCCACGCCCAGCATACCAGTCATTGAGCTGCTGGGAGGTGAGGGGAGGAAGCTGCTGCTGCTGCTGTGGCTGCTGCTGCTGCTGCTGCTGCTGGCCACCCTTCTGGCCAGATCCACCCCCACTCCCACCTCCACCGCCACTGCCGCTGCCTCCTCCCCCACCACCGCCGCCGCCGCCTCCACCGCCCCCGGTCCTGCCGCCACCCCACCCACCGCCTCCACCCCCACGGCCACCCCCACCACCTCCACCACCCCCGCCGCCTCCACCACCGCTCCCTCCACCGCCACCTCCGCCACCCCTGCCACCCTTGCCGCCCCTGCCACCACCACGCTTCCCACCAGGAGCGGAAGCCGCTGCGACCTTCTCCGCACCGAGGAAGTCGACAGCAGTAGCAGCAGAGGCGTAGGAGGGGTCAAGAGGGGAGGGGGAGCACCCCTCAAAGAGGGGAGTGCGGGGAGTGCCACGAGCAGCACCGACAGCGAGGATGTTCTTCTCTGCTGCGACCAGCTGCTGCTCGAAGTCGTCCAGAGTGATAGTTGGAGGATCCTTGGCAAGGAAGTAATCCCTGACAGAGCGAAGAGTGTCAGGGAGGCGGGTGACGAGGATGTAGAGGGTGAAGTACAGCGGGGGGCGGTTCGTGGCGAGGAACTCGTCGGTAAGAGCGGCTCGAAAGCGGGCGTCACTAGCGCGGAGGTGAGTGATAAGGTCGGCAGCAGTGTGAAACGAGGCTAAGTCTGGGAACAGGTAAGGCAGGATGAGACTACCAACGGTGGCTGTGGCCGGGGCGGAATAGCGGGCAACGACAGCATCATACAGCGTCTGAGCAGTCTTAAGCTGGTTGAAATGCGCGCGCTCAGAGATCGGTAGGTGATTGCGAATAACAAGGCGCGCGACTGCATCGCGGAGCTCCCACTGTGCTCGTTCAGGGGCAGGAGCAGTCTCAGCGGGAGTAGGGACAGTGCCGGTCACATAGGCTAGCAGTGACACTCCGTCTGCGACGTCAGTCATAAGGTAAAGGCGCAGGTCACTAAGCCAGGTGTCAAACTCGATGGGGCGGCCGTCAGACTCAAAGGCGAGAACAGTAAGGGTCGCCATGGTTGCAGCGCAGGCAAAAGTAGCAGGCTCAGGCAGCAGGCTCAGGCAGCAGGCTCAGGCAGCAGGCAAAGGCTGCAGGCTCAGGCAGCAGGCTCAGGCAGCAGGCTCAGGCAGCAGGCAAAGGCTGCAGGCTCAGGCAACAGGCAACCGTAGCAGGTAGGCAGTTGATACAGGCGCAATGCGAGCAGGTAAGGAAACACGCAGATCAGTGACAGGCCGCGCGCAGGCTGGCGGGGCGCGACGTGAGCTGCGCGGGCGGTGCGCGGGCCGCGTGCGGGCTGCGCGCGGGCTGCGCGCGGGCTGCGCAGGCTCAGTGCGGGCCGCGCGGGCTAGGCGCGGGCTGCGCGGGCTCAGTGCGGGCCGTGCGGGCTCGGCGCGGGCTGCACGGACGGTGCGCAGGGCAGCTGCGGGCCGCGCGGGCTCAGGGCGGGCTGCACGAGCGACCTACGGGGCGCGACGCGGCTGGCAGCAGCTGTGCGCGGTAAAAAAAAAGGCGTGCGCGCGCAGCCGAGGCGCGCGCGGGCAGCAGGCTAGGCAGACACGTATGTAAGGCAGGTAGGCAGGCCGTTGGGGAGGTAACTTAGTACATGGTGGGCCCTTAAGCTTAGGTCTAGGAACCTGCTCTAGATGCCATGTCGAGAGAATCAGGCAAGGTTGGATTGACTATCGAGAGTTTGGTACAAATAACACAACCCTAAAGTGTTATCCCCTATAACATCTACCCCACTACAGCCTACCAATATATATCACACATATATATCATTTGACAAAATGCCCTTGTAGCGACAGCCCTGCCCGCCACCAAACGAACAGTCGCCCCGTTCACAACCCTTCACGCTAAGGTCGTGTTCTCGATAGCTCGGGAATGCCTTCACTACGTTTCGAGCACCTCTGGAAGATGATACGTCGTCTGTTACACAGGCGGCTGAGGTTGAATCTGGAAATGGGAACACGTCGAAACCCAAAAATGAACAACCCCCAGCTCCACATGAAAGGGCTGACCACAGCCAGGTGGGGGGGAAATGTATGGACGACACGAATGCCGTTGTAACTGGCGGATTTCCCGAAGGCATTACCCGATAAGAAGACTAAACACTTGGTGCTTGTGTGTGTATACTCACTGAGACATTTCACTACAACAACTACCATTTTGTGGCTAAACATGCATGATGGCTAGCACAATAGTGCCTCCAAACATTCATTACGTTGTGCAATCATGTTTAGGGTAGTGTACGTGGGAATCACTGATCGAGAAAGCAGATATAGATCATCAAAATTCCATCTACATGCTCTTGTTGATTCAATAATTACGTGTAGCATTACGCTTCAACTACACAGGTCTAGCAGCACCTGTGGCGACTACAGTACAGGTACAATGGTGTCTGCAAGACAAAGAATGGTGGAGAGGGAGGGCATGCAACTGTCTGCGACAAAGAATGATGGACACTGACTCTCCCAAGCTGCTCTTGAGAGTTCTCAAAAGCGACTGTCAGTCGGACCCTGGGATCTTCTACTTCTCACCACACCTCAGCACTCCTCAGCACCCCTTAAAGTACCATCTGAAGTCAGGTACCTCTCGCCAGCTCCTGCAGTATGTCGGTAACTCACTTTCCCTGGCCGGCTGCATCCCCCTGCTTAATCCCTCCGGTTCAAGTCAACCACCCCCAACCTCCCTTTCCCCCCACTCCCCCCCTCCGCCTCCTCCCCCCCTCGTTCCCTACATCTCTGCCGGCCTTCCAAACCCGCTGCCTGCTGCCCACTGCCTGCTGCCTGGTGCCTTCATTGTACCAACCCTTTCCCTTTCTGCACTCATTCCACTCCCCTCACTCACCCCCCTCCTCCGAATGTGCACATCCTGCATCTATCAATCACTCACACGTCCCCTTGGCCTCCTCCACTAAGTAAGATCTCCTTTCACGGAGGACCAGTGCTGGGCAGCACGCTACTCTCAGTGCCGAGGTGACGCCTGAGTCGATCCAAAAATGGCTCACAAAATCCACGTTGGCTCCTCGCTCGCAAAGATAACCTTGACTGAGGACCAGTCCAGGGGAGCGTGCAGCTCCCCCCACACATGTGCGTCCACTCTGTGCCCCCATCTGCATGTGAGTCGACTCAGGAACCAGTCCTCCATGCATGCCTCGCATGCGGGTGCCTCACACATAACTGTGCATCGTCTGAGGCGCTTAAAAGGGCGATTCACGCGTCACTTTGCCTCCTCGCTTGCAAAGATATCCTTGACATTGGACCAGTTATTTTCAGCACGCTGCTCCCAGTATCCTCCCACGTACGTCCACGTGTTGTGCGGCCCCATCTGCTTGAACCACCGCGGGTGCCACCCCTCCTCCTTGCTCTCTCGCGCCTGCGAGCGAGAGGGATGTGCGTGTGAGGGAGAGTGGGGAGCAGGTTGTGAGACGGGAGGGGGGAGTGAGAAGGGGGAGCGGGTAGTGAGACGGGAGTGGGGATGAGAACCCAATACTTACCCTGCTTTGGCTCTGCCAAAGGCCCAGAGGAAGGCAGTTCAGCAACCCTAAAAAGGAAGCCTCTCATAGCCGAAGCACAAACAGCGTTCCTCTTGACAAGTTGTCAAACATCCTCAGAACCCAAACCCAAGCCCAAGCCCTGCTCAAGAGAGCCTTCCTATATCAAAGATCTCCATCACCCCCCATCAACCAGCCCTCAAAGGAAACACAGCGCCTGTGCATCCCCACCTGTCCTTGCCTTGTCTCGAGGCGAATCTCCCCTGCATTGGCGCAGTGCAAGTACCCTTCCTTCAGCACCATCCCTTGCTGGATGCCCCGAATCTCCTTTTCACCGCTGCCCAATCTCATCCCACCTGGCGTTGCCGTGTCTCAAGGCGGATCTTCTCCGCATTGGCGCATTCTAAGTGCCCTTCCTCCAACGCCGTTCCCTTTCTACGTGTCTCAGGCATTTCCCCCACAGCCAACCATGAATTCTGTGCATCCCCACCTGGCGTTGCCTCGTCTCAAGGCGGATCTTCTCCGCATTGGCGCGGTCAAAGAACCCTTCCTCCAACGCCACTCCCTTCCTAGATATGCCAAGCACCGCCCCCCAACGCAACCCCATGCACAGAGCAGGCACTGTTCACACCCCCACCCCCCCACCTGGCGTTGCCGTGTCTCGAGGCGGATCTTCTCCGCATTGGCGCAGTCAAAGTACCCTTCCTCCAGCCAAACCCCCTGCTACCTGCGCCAAATCTCCACCCAACACAGGCCCCTATCATTCCCACCTGGCGTTGCCTCGTCTCGAGGCGGATCTTCTCCGCATTGGCGCGGTCAAAGTACCCTTCCTCCAGCGCCCGCTGGTCCGGGCGCAGGCGCGAGTCCGTGGGGGGAAGCACGCCCTGGCAGAAAAGATAGCAAGCCAGGAGAGGCAGGAGCGCGGGCGGAAAAGGCAGAGGATAGATGCATGAGTGATCTGCTATTGAAGGGTTGAAACTCTTCTAAGGCAAGGGACAGATGCAAACTCTTCTAGGGGGAACCACGGTCTTTCAAGCAGGGAAGCAGACATCAGTTCATGGGGAGTAAGCCGTCCTGGCAGCGAGAGGAGAGAGGAAGGCGGGGGTGACGACTCCCTACCAGGAATTTGAAAGTTCAAACTTCTAATACTGACCGATCGACTGGCCCACTCTCACTCACTCGCATCACCTCATCCTGAGGTCGGGGGTTGATCTCGTTGAGAGAGATGCAGTATGGTGTGAAGGTGTACTTAGTTGCATGGGAAGGGCGAGGAGGGAGGCGGGGGGCCGGGAGAAATAGGAACGACTTCTGAGAGACGCCTCGAAACTCACCTTAAGGTCCGGGGTGATCTCGTTGAGAGAGATGCAGTACGGTGTGAAGGTGTACTTGCACGGGAAGGGCGAGGGTGGGGATTTCCGCCACAGCAGGTGCGCGTGCGCCATGAGGTGCTGGTCGTCCTTGGCGGCCCTGCCGTGCTCCTTGTGAGACAGGTCCCCCGGCACGTAGTGCAACGACTCGTCCCACCGCCCCACCAGCGTCGCCAGCTTCTCACCCTTCTCGCCCACCGCATATCCCCGCACCTGGGAGGGGAGAGAAGTGGGTGTGGGTTTGGGATGAAGCGAGGGAGAGGGTGACTGGGTCACGCTGCTTTGGCGTTGCCAGCTTCTCACCCTTCTCGCCCACTGCAGAGCCCCCACCTGGGAGGGGGGAGCGGCGGGTGTTGCCTCAATGAGTGGGTTGGAGAAAATAGAGGGAGAGAGAGAGGGTTGGGTCGTACCTACTACCTACGTGGCCCTGCCAGCACATGAGAAGTTGGGAGCAGCTCCTATCACACATCACACATGGGAAGGTTACCCACCTTGTGTGTGTCGCGGTCGAAGAAGGAGCGCTCCTTGAGTTTGAGTCGCACGGAGATGCCTCGATTAGCCATTCATGTCATGACCACACATGGCCGCACATGGGGATGGAGCCAGCACCTATGGCAGGAGGAGGAGAAGGGCAAAGCGGAGGAGGGGTTACCCACCTGGTGCGTGTCGCGGTCGAAGAAGGATCGTTCCTTGAGCTTGAGTCGCACGGAGATGCCTCGGTTGCTGTTGACGCGCATGGTGCCGTAGTGGTCTATGTACAGCTTGCCGATAATCAGGTTGTAGATGCCCGTTGTCACCTGTGTGTAGGGTGTGAGCGCAGGAGCATGGCAGGGGAGGAGAGAGATGGCATGGTGAGACCGAGATGCTGATGCGCATGGTGCCGTAGTGGTCTATGTACAGCTTGCGGATAATCAGGTTGTAGATGCCCGTTGTCACCTCCCCATTGCATTCCATTGACAGGAAACATGGGAACATGGAACAAAAGAGAGAGGACTTGGTGTGACCAGCATGGTGCCGTGGTGGTCTATGTACAGCTTCCCGATTACCATGTTGTAGATGCCCGTCGTCACCTGGCACATGACATTGCGTTGATGGGAACAGGAGTTGGTGAGACCAGGAAGTCTGATACCAGCATGGTGCCGTAGTGACCACACCGTATGGCACAGCATGGTTATGATCAGGACACAGCGTGGTCAACCAGGTTGTATATCAGAACACCAGCGCCCACCTTCCCCACCCCCCTCATCCCACAGATTGTACCATACAGTACCGTCTCGACATGCGCCACCACCCCACCACACCACATCCCACCACACTGCACCGCACCTTGTTCCACTCGAACACCTCCCCATCGTCAAACGCCACGGACAGCACGCCCAGGGGCTCCAGCTGCATGGAGGATGGAGAAGAGCTTACTCCATGCATAGTGCACCATGCATACCATACATACCCCACCACACCGCATCCCACCGCACTGCACCGCACCTTGTTCCACTCGAACACCTCCCCATCGTCAAACGCCACAGACAGCACGCCCAGCGGCTCGAGCTGCATGGAGGGCCCCCAGAAGCGGATGCGGATGTTGCAGTCCCCCCAGAACCGCCACCCCCGCCCCTCGCAGTGCGCTGCCACGATCGGCGGGTGGTGCACCACCTGTTGTTGGGAGGGAAAGAGTAGGAAGAACAGTGGTTGGGTCAGTTGCTTCAAGAACCTCACCCCCGCAACTCGCAGTGCTGCACCAATATAGGCGGATGTTGCACCACCTGATGTGCGAAGAACGGGAAAGGGGAAATGAAAGGGTACCAGAGGGAAGGCGACGAAGAGAGATGGTGGCCCTAAGAATCACAGCCAGCCGTGCCGCTTGCTTGCAATGTGCTACCGCAGATCCTCAGAGGTCTCTGAGTGTGGGTGGGCATGTGTGACGCTTCATGAGATGCATGCCCCCAACAGTCAGGAAGCTCACTGCAAGGCAAGCTTCCTAGTTGATAAGCACTTTGCAGGCACACTGCAAGGGCTCTGCAGGAGGCTTCTGATAGGAGTGGGACAGGGACACAGGTGCACTCCTTTGTTACACCTTTCCGGAGATGGATAGGTAGCCTTTGTTTGGAATGTCCTCTGGACCCCTGCTGACTTCAAAAAAAGAAACCCACTCTTAAAATCGAAACCCACAACACCAAAGACCAAACCCCAAACCAGTGGCACACCTTTTCGGAGATGAATCGGAAGCCCTTGTCGGGGAAATCGGCCTCGTAGGTCTCTCCTATAAGCGGGTTGAATGGCTTCTGCACGCGGTGCTCCGCACTGCCCATGCCCATGCCCATGCCCATGCCCATGCCCATGCCCATGCCCATGCCCATGCCCATGCCCATGCCCATGCCCATACCCATACCCATGCCCATGCCCCTCCCCAAACCCTATCCTGGAACCCGAAACTTTGAACCCATGGCACCTTTTCGGAGATGAATCGGAAGCCCTTGTCGGGGAAGTCTGCCTCGTACGTCTCTCCTATGAGCGGGTTGAATGGCTTCTGCACGCGGTGCTCTGCACTCGCTGCGTACGCTGACATGGCAAACGCTGCCACGTGCAGTGCTCTCATCAGATGCTCGCCCTGAGGGAGCGCCCGGGGGGATGGGGCGGGGTGGTGTGGTAGTTGTTGGAGTGTAGGAGGAGAAATTTGGAACGGCAAGGAGAGGAGGAAGGGAATGGGACGAGAGTGGGGAGTCGGAAGGGAGAGGGAGAAGGGTTGAGGGGCTTCTGCAATTGGTGTTCCATGCTGTATGCACACGCTGACATGACACAAACGCCACCATGTGTAGCGTGGTGCTCGCATCAGATGCTCGCCGGAGGGGGATGGGAGCAGGGGAACGGGGAACAAGGGGGGGCTTGAGGCGTCTAGAGAGTAGATGCTGACACGTGCAGCGCCCTGATCAGATGTTTGAACTATTCTCTAGGAGTTCTTGATCTAAGCTTGCAGCCAAGCCTAGTTCAAGCACTTGTAGAGAATATGGACCTTGCAGTTAGCACTGCGCTTGTCCCATACCACCCCGCCCCACCCTATCACCTCACCCCATCCCTCCACTCACCCAGCGGCCATACTCAGCAGCACGATCAAGCAGCCAGCTGTACTCCATCTCCTCGCAGCACTCCTGCAGCGTACTGATGGGGGTAGTGGTCTCAGAAAACAATACCCACTCACAACTCAACCTTCGAGATGGACGAGGCCGCGCCGTATCCCACCCAAAATCGCTCCACCGCACTCCACCCCATCCCATGCCACCCCACCCCCACCCACCACCGCCACTCACCCGGCGCCCATACTCCGCCGCCCTGTCAAGCAGCCAGCTATACTCCATCTCCTCGCAGCACTTCTGCAGCGTGCTAATCGGCTCGTTAAAGTACACCGGCAGGCAGATCTTCGACAGGTCCTTCCCCACACAGTCCTTGATGATATTCCACAGCCCCACCGCCTTCTCCTCCTCCGCCGGCTCCGGCAACCTCTCTCTCCGCTTCACATACGGGTACGTAAACCCCACTTTCTCCATGTCTAGACTCGACAGGCTCGACAGAGAGGAGGGCAGGGAGCGTTCAGAGAACCCGGGGGGCGAGGAGACGGAGAGGGAGGAGAGGGAGAGCGAGAGGGAGAGGGAGGTCATCTCCTCCCAGCGGCGCGAGCCGACGAATTCGTCCATGGCTTCAAAGAACTCGTCCTCTCCTGCCTGCGTGCTGCTGTGGTCGTCGTCCCCCTCGTCTTCTCCCTCCTCCTCGCCCTCTCCACTCTCCTCCTCTTCTCCGTCGTCCTCCCGGTCGTTGGCGGTCAAGGGGAGGAGTACAGGTGCCCCTCCTTTGCCTGTGTCAGTGGCTGTTGTCGCGGTGGCTGTTTCGCTCTGCTCATCGCCGTCTGATGGATGGGGGAGTGGGTGGGGGGGAGTGGGAGTGGGTGGGGGGGAGTGGGAGGGGGTGGGAGGGGGTGGGAGGGGGGTTGAGTGGGTGGAAACGAACAGGAGGGGAGGGGAGGAGCAAGCATGTTTCGAGACGTCTCAAAACAGGAGGGGAGGGGAGGAGCAAGCAAGGAGGGAGGAATGAGGGAGGGCAGATGATGCGGGTAGAGGAGTGGGTTAATAATCAACTGAGAGTAGCATGTGTTGCAGGGCAGAGTGATGTATTGTGGTGCGTTCTAGTGTGGTACAGTACGGTGTGGTGCAATGATCCCTGCAGATTCAAGTTTTGAGCTGACTCAAATACAGTAGCTGCTCACTGCTCGTACCTCGAATGTGATGCATTGACTCTTCCACCACTGCCGATTCTAACTCCACCTTATCCGCCTGTGTAGGGGGAGAGCGGACAAACACACGTACATGCACACACATTTACACACATGCACTTGCACGAGCACGCATGCACACCCCCCCCCCCCCCCCACACACGGTGACACATACAAACGCAGGCACACAAACACAGAAAGATGGCTGAATGAGTAATACTCAACAGTGAAGAGGAAGAAGAGGTGAATGTTCCATGAAGATTCGCCCCACCGTCACACCCATTCCCCATTCTCTCTATCCCCAACCCAACCACATTACCTCTCCCCCCACCTCCACACACAAACACAGACCCACCAGCCCACTGACAAACGCACCCGCAGCTGAAGCAACTTCCAGGTCAGCACGTTCCCCCCCTCCCTCCACCCTACCCTCCCAACACACACACACACACCCGCTTCCACCCAACCCCCGCCAACCCACCTCCAGTTGGCTAATCCGCTCGTGCAGCATCTGCCGTCGCTCCTGCTCCTCCCGCAACCTCAGCTGCAGCCGCTGCAGCACCTCCCGCCGTACCACCTCCTCGCACTCCTGGATCACCTCCGCGCTGACCTCTGCCCGCAACAAACACGCCCTCAGCGGCGCTAAAGTCACGTCAGCCACGAACGTGGCCTGCTCCGCCTCTCTCTGGCTGCGCCCCATGCGCTCCTTGGCGGCCTGCAGCAGGTCCAGCCACAGGCCTCTGTCGTCGCGGGACTCGGCGCGCAGGTCCAGAGTCTTGGTCCCGCTGAACACGTAAAACTTTTTTTCGTCCGACTGGCTCTCCCGCAGCGATGACACCTGCAGGGGAGGAAAAAGGGGGGTTTCTCAGCATGTTTCACAGTCTGAAGTGTAACAAGCCATCTCAAACGACGGCTGAGACTCAGAGCAGGTCGATCGCGAGTCTTGGTCTCACTGAACACGTAGAACTTGCTCTCATCCGATCCGACTAGCTCTCCCGCAGCGATGAGACCTGCAGGTGAAGAAAGGAAGGGGGTGTGGTGTGGGGGAGTTTTCACATGTGTCATCACAACCTGAAGCGTAACAAGCGGTCTCAAGAGCAGGTTGATTGAGAGTCTTGGTGCCGCTGAACACATAGAACTTTTTCTCGTCTGACTGGCTTTGCTGCAGCGATGACACCTGCAGGTGCGGGGAAAGTAAGGGAGGTGTGAGGGAGGGGAGGGGGGTCACAGGTTATGGAATTGGGGGGGAGCGAGAGAATGGAAAGGGAGTGGGGGGCAAAGGAAGTGTGGAGGAGGAGGTTTTTTAGGACGGAGGAAGGGGGGAGATTTGGGAAGGAAGAGGAATTGGGAGGGAAGGGAGTGAGGGGGAAAGAAGGGAGGAAGGGAGTGAGGGGGGAAGGAAGGAGTGAGGGGGGAAGGAAGGAGTGAGGGGGGAAGGAAGGAGTGAGGGGGGAAGGAAGGAGTGAGGGGGGAAGGAAGGAGTGAGGGGGGAAGGAAGGAGTGAGGGGGCGGAAGCGTGGAGAGCGGGCCGTTGGAGGAAGTGGGGAAGAGAGGGAGTCTGCGGCAGTAAAATGGACAGGAAGGGAGGGTGAAAGATGGGAGGGGGAGGGTGAGAAACGGGTCTCACTTAAAGACCATACACTCTCCACATTGGTGATTCGCTCACTGAAAGACCATACACTCTGCACCTGTCTCCCATACACTCTGCACCTGTCTCCCGTACACTCTGCACCTGTCTCCCATACACTCTGCACCTGTCTCCCATACACTCTGCACCTGTCTCCCATGCACTCTGCACCTGTCTCCCATGCACTCTGCACTGCCCATGCACATGCACTCTGCACTGCCCATGCACTCTGCACTGCCCATGCACTCTGCACTCACTGATATTTGAGGATCGTAAAAAAACTTCAACACTCTGCACATTGGTGATTCACTCACCGAAAGGTGTATCTCCCCATACACTCTGCACAACGGCCGCGTGATTGCAGACTTGCCACCTCCTCCTCCTCCTCCTCCTCCCCCTCCTCCTCCTCCCCCACCCCCTCCTCCTCCTCCTCCGCCCCCACCTCCTGGCGTTGCTCCTGTGCCTCCGGCCCATGCTGCTGCAGTGGCGCCTGCAACAGGGGTTGGAGGGGCAGAGGGCACAGAAGCAGCACCACCTGCCACTGCCGCTGGTGCTGGTGCTGTCCCAGCAGCAGCATCAGCAGAAGCACCGGCAGCAGCACCAGCACCACCGGCAGACGCAGCAGTGCCACCAGCACTAGGGGCAGCAGCAGCAGCAGCAACAGCAGCACTAGCGGCAGCAGCACCACCAGCACCAGCAGCAGCAGCAGGAGCAGCAGGAGCAGCAGCAGCAGCAGCAGCAGCAGCAGCAGCAGCAGACGAAGAAGGAGCAGAAATGGCCGGGGAGAATGCAGACACAGTAGCCGAGGAAAACGCAGAAGGCACACTCAGCACTGTAGCCGCTGCCGCCGCTGCACTCGCAGCCGCACTACTGGCTGCAGCGGCAGCAGCAGTGGCAGCAGTAGCAGCAGCGGCAGCTGCAGCAGAGGCCACGCCCATGGCAGCAGCAGAGGCGCTGTGAGCAGCACTGGGAGTTGACCGTTCCGGCACCGGTTGTTGCCCTCCTACTGCCGCTGACGCCCTCTCTTTCTCCCTCTCCCTCTCTCTCTCCTTCTCCTTCTCCCTGTCTCTCTGCTTCTCCTTCTCGCCGCCCTTGTCTCCTCTCTCTCCCGCTCTCTCCCGCTGTCGCTCCTGCTCCTTGCGCAGCAATCGCCTAACCTCGTCCCCCACCAGGCACGCGCCTGGGCGCCGCTGCACCTCCAGCAGCACGCTTGCTCGGTGGGGGCCCTCTATCTTGCAGTATGACAGCACGCCCTGGGGTACCGCGGGGGAGGGGAGAGGGGAATTGGGGAATGGGCCGAGGGGCGATAAGCCGAGGGCGAGGGCCAGGGGGGGAGAGGGAGAGGGAGAGGAGAAGAGCGGAGGAAATGGTGGATGAGAGAGGAGAGGGAAGCGGGAGAGGGGCGAAGGGTAAGGAGCGGGGGGAGAGGGGAGGGTTGAACGTGGTTTGGAGAGCAGCAGAGTTGCATTGAGAATCCAAGGATGAACTGAAGCCACGTCCCGTGTGACATTGTAACGAGCTGCCTTTAAGTCGACTCAAAAGGAGGGGGGACCGTGGTTTGGAGAGCAGCAAAGTTGCACTGAGAATCCATGGATGAACTGAAGCCCTGTCCCGTGCCGATCATTCGCAGGTCTTGTTCCCGAAATAGATACACACACAGACAAAGTCTTGGAACCAGCAACACGGGCATTCAGGGTATCCGGGCAGAACTATCCAACCTTAAGGGCTTTCATCATTCAGGCTTTCCCTCAAGGATAATAACATCTGCTGCACGCGGAGGATTCTGCTTTTAAAGGTAAAGGATCCTACCTTATCGAGGATGAAGAGCCGAGGGGCCCAGCCGCGACCCAGGTGCACCCATTTCGACAGCACACCAATCGCCACGTCCGGTAACTCCTCCCCCAACCCCGCGCCCCGCGTTCCCCCTGCCCCCGCGCCCTCCCCGCCCCCTCCCCCCTTCAACCCCCCCCCACCTGATACGCCCATCCCCGCAGCACCGCCCCCCCCAGCCAGTCCGCTAGCGCTTCCGCTTGTAACGGCCCCGTCGCTTCCGCCGCCTAGTGCGCTCTTCTGCGCGGGCTGCGCGGAGGAGCTATCCGCCGCGGCCGCGCCCCGCCCGTCCAAGTCTCCGCCGGCCGTTGCGCTCGCGCTCTTGGGGAACCCGCTGATGGGGAACCCGCTGATGGGGAACCCGCTCCCCGTCCTGTGCAGTCCGCGCGCGTCCGCGTAAACCCCCTTCACTCCGCCTGCGCGGAACCCCCCCGACACATCAGCATTTGCCCTGCCCTCCGACCGATAGACCCCTAGCGCCTCGTCCCCGTCGCTTCCGAACGCGCCTCCCGCCACAGCTCCGCCCGCCGCGCCCGCTCCGCCCGCGTCCTTCCCCGCGCGGCGGCGGAAGCCCTTGGCGACGAGGCTGGGGAGGGCGGTGTTGACGAGGCTCACGAACGCCGCCGTGTCGATCCCCATAGCCGACTGCACGAACGCTGCGCCGCCGCCGCCGCCGCCGCCGCCGCCGCCGCTCCCTCCCCCTCCCCCTCCTGCTCCGGACGTTCCCGCCACTCCGGTGGCTCCATTTGCCGTTTCTGGCGCGTCCGGGGGGAAACAACCCGCGGCGGTGGTAGTGGTGGGCGCATTCCTTCCGCCGCTCGGCATGTGATACCCGGAACTCCCTAGACTGCCGCTGCCTCCTTCCCCCGCGTTGAACAAACCGGACGAGTGGAGATTCGGGCTGGTGGAGGCGTCTCGAGAGTGCGACGAAAAGGATTTGCTGGAGGGAAGGATGGGGATAATGGCGGACGGCATGATGCTGGACGGGAAGATGGCCGATCCGAAGGACGGATGAAACAGACGGTCGCGACGTTTCTTGCCGTCGGGTGTTAAGGAGCGGGGATTAGAGACGCCGGAGGGTAGTTGATCGGTGTAGTGACCTGGTGGTGATAGGCAACGCGATGCGGGTTGCTGCCTACTTGAAACGGATTGCTTCATTCGAAGCTAGGGTGTGCTAGTTGTGTGTCTCATTCTCGTACTCGCCTACTTACGGCGTTTCTTACTTAAGCGCCTCGCTAATACTCGTACTTGAACTCGTGTCTCTTACGTGCGCCACTATATACCTGTTGAAGTCCCTATTAGTGCCTGGTTTCTATAATCAGTTCATTCGCCAAGAGAGCGAGTCCGACGAAGGTACTAGGTCAAGAGCCGCATCATTACACGCTTATGACATGCGTACTAAGAGCACCGGGAACCAGAAACGGCCCTCCCTGATACACGAAAGGGCAATGGAACCTCCGCAATGGCTCCTAGATAGCGTCGAGCATAATTACCGTCGCTTCATATACCCTCACGGTTTCCAGAATGAAACTTCAGGACGCTTGGCGAGTTTTACGCACGTGCCCGCAAACCCTTGAGGCGACGAAAGAATCCCATCAGCGTAGAGGCATCGACTAAGTGGTGGCATAAGGGTTGCCTTAGAGATGGAAGAGAAAGGAGGGAGGAGATTGGATGGGTTGGGTGATGCTAGTATGGGATGGGATGGGAAAAGGTGGGGGGAGGTATTTTGTAACGGTGACGTAACCCGGAACGATCAACCTTCTTATTGGCTGTTCGGTCAGTATTCTCAAGGTGCGTGATGTGGCACGGAATGTGAGGGCGAGGGGTGGAGCGGAGCGGAGCCCATCAGATCCATCAGAGAACATACACCTCCTGCGGAGGGGAGGGCGATGCGTTTGATTTGGCGGCTCGGGTCGGTTCAGGCAGGTGGTGGTGTCAGTCTGCAGCACATTGCTGCCTTCCTACGTGTCTCCCCGCCGACCAATTTCCCACCAATGATCGCCACGAGAATAAAAGCGCAAAGGCGGAAAAATCTTACGATGGTTACCCTTCCGTTACAAACCCTTTTAATTATTTTACCATCAATTTTACCCTGTCCACAAGTGTGTCTATCGCGGGGCGGTTAGCTCGTTGGCGCGAGTCCCTGTTAACGGCTGTTGTTTTGGAACATTCTTCCGAAGTGGGGATAATCTGGGAGGCCATCCAGAATGCTCCAAACCTTTTACGAAAGGGGAGGGGAGAGGGACGGCTGGTTCTGTGAAGGCCCCAAGGTTGCGTCATCATGCGCCATGCGGAGTTTGTTTTATCCTGGTCCTCGCTACTGTATCGGATATTTAGACGATGTGTAGTTCAGGTGAAGTGTCTGCAACCCTTGTCACAGGGGTATGCATCATGCCAGCTAGTCTAGTTATTTTCTTCACTGTAGCTTGGAAAATAAATCTAAAAAACGACTTGAATTAGCAAAGCATAGATTCCAGAATACTGCTCACAGGGAAATTCACCACAGCCCAACATCTGTACTCAGCACACAAGTCAGTTAAACAGACAAACCCACAGATAAGGCAGCTACTTCGATATAGAGCAGCCACAAAGAGCCACAGGTTTCTTCCAAGTCAGAAGTCAAACCAGCCCAGCCCACTCGTCAAAACTCCTCAATGTGAAAAACAAAAAAGAGAAGAAAAGAGGTCTGTCGTCTCATCTCATGGCGATGCACTGGCAGGCAGAAGAGCAAAGCCCAGTCGTTCCAAACGTGCCCATACCAGCAGGGACAAACCCAGCAGGGACAAATCCAGCTACTCCCCCTCCCTCCTCCCCACCTTCCCCTTCTCCTGGGTCCCTTCTCCCCAAAATCAGCGACAGCGACCCACCTCTCCCCCGTGGGTTCACAGCTGCCTGTGGCCTCACGGCAGCAAGAGATACTGGAGTGTCAGGGGTAGTTGTGCGCCTGCCTGCGCCGATCCCAGAGCGGATCCCAAACTGCAGAAGGAGTGCCTGGTCCCTGGTCAATAGATTGGTTGATGATGGGCTGGAAAATTCCCTGGGCTGGCTTGATGCCAACAGTAGGGTGGAGCAGTGAGGGAGATCGAGGGATGGGATGGCTGCAGGATAGACTGGATGGGCAGGGCTTTGAGAGGCAAGCCCCCTTCCACAGTGTATGGCCATGGCTCATGGCGCGTGGGCCATGGCATGTGGCGTGTGGACCATAGGGCCCCATATTGCATGCCCCCCCATGTCGCATGTGTCCCAGTGGCTCATGACACATGGGCAAGTTGCGGACTCGCACGAGTCGAGAGCGACATGCAGTGCACACTGGTACGGTATGGTACGGTACGGTATGGTACGGTATGGTACGGTACGGTATGGTATGGTACGGTATGGTACGGTACGTATGGTATTCTATGGTATGGTATGGCATGGTACGGCATGGTATGATATGATATGGTATGGTACGGTACGGTACGGTACAGTACAGTACAGTACAGTACGGTATGGTATGGTACGGTCCGGTATGGTATGGTATGGTATGGTATGGTACGGTATGATATGATATGGTATGGCATGGTATGCATGCACGCACGTGTGGGGGGGGGGGGGGGGGGGGGGGGGGGGGGCAAACAGGGCTCGGCAGAGTATGGTATGGGGGAGGCCACGTGTGCATGGGGAGGGTATGTGGGTATGGGAGTGGTGTGGTGCGGGGTGAGCTGTGTGTGTATCAGGGAATCATTTGTGTATCTTCTTCCACGCACGGCCATGGTCCTTCATCGGCTGCGCACATCCTCAAACTGTGCCATGCTATCCCCCCTCACTCCGCCCTTCCCCCCTACCCCCCTTCCCCCTACCCCCTCCCCTCCCCCTCAATGCTACACGCAGAAACTCCTTTGGCGGCTTTTCACGCAGCAGAATCCATCCCTCCTGTGTCATCCATCCCTACCACCAACCACCAGCCATACACAAGAACGTGGTGAGAGCATCGTTTCACCACCACCACCACCACCACCCCCATGACCAGCGCATCAAGTAACACTCATGCAGCACCCACAAGGCACGGGTCTATGCCTGACGACTGCCACACCTGCGACCCTGCATCTGCCTCCTCCCTCCCTGCTGCAACCGCCGCTTCTCCCTCTCCCTGCCCATTAACCTGCCCGTTTCCCTGCCCCCGCGCGTCCCCTTCCCCCTCCTTCCCCTTCCTGTTAGCATCGCCCCTTGCCTCCGTACTCAGTTTTGCTACTGCTGTGCCTGCTCCACCTCCTCCACTTCCTCCTGTTGCAGCTGGCGCTGCTGCTGCTGCTGTGTCCCCTTTCCCACCGGCTGCTGCTAGTCGGGGCGAGAGGAAGAACAGTGGCCTAGGGGACTTGGGCACAAGGGACGGCGAAATGGGAGGGGCCATGGCTGCTGCTGCTGGCGCCGTGCTGCTGCTGCTGGTACTGGTGATGGGGAAGAGGAGGAGAGGAGAAGAATAAGATCAGAAAAAGAGTAAGACAGCGCACATACAAGCAGCGGATTAGACAAGGAAAGGGATTCGGGCATGAGGGACCAGCATCTAGAGCCTAGGCAAAGAAAGATCTGTGCAACATCGGATGTAAAAAGAGTTTCGTGCCACATGCGGGGGGCGAATATTAATCTACGTCCATCGTGGGAAACTATCATTTTGCGCTCCACTGGTCGGGAAGAACGCTCTGCGATGTATGAATGTTTAAAGCCGAGTCCAGGAGAAGCAGTGTTCTGTGCCACACCGGGAAAGCAGAGTGTTTCCCACCACTCTAAACCCATCCTACCAATGACCGCTGTTTCCCCTTTTCCCCATTAACACCCCTTGGACTAGTTCAACTGGGTCCGCCCCCTTTCTTCCATTAACTCATGCACAGCATACCTGCCAGCAGCAGCGGATTGGTCGGCCGCACCAGCAGCAGCCGCAGCAGCAGAGGAATCCGAGGGAACGACTCCCGCTGAGATGCGTGCATCTACTTGACTGGCTGTGTCTAGGTGGCCCGCAGCATCCAATCGCTGCTCTGCAGAGGCTGTTGTGGCAGTTGCAGCTGCAACGGAGGACGAGGGGGCAGAAGAGGCGGAGGACGGAGCGACGACGGCTGGAGGAGCAGCAGCAGCAGCAGCAGCAGAGGAAGAGGCGGAGGAGGTGGAGGTATGGGGGGCAGGAGCAGAGGCTGACGCTGGTGCTTGTTGTGATGATGACCGCGCGTGTGCTTGCACTGCCTCGTGATCGCGGCTTGAGCCCCTGCGCACCCACGCGGGACTGGCTGCCTGGGAGATGCGCGTGGGGGGGAGATGCGCGTGGGGGGGAGATGCGCGTGGGGGGGAGATGCGCGTGGGGGAGAGATGCGCGTGGGGGGGAGATGCGCGTGAGGGGGAGATGCGCGTGGGGGGGAGATGCGCGTGGGGGGGAGATGCGCGTGAGGGGGAGATGCGCGTGGGATTGAGATGCGCGTGAGGGGGAGATGCGCGTGGGATTGAGATGCGCGTGAGGGGGAGATACAAGAGAGAACGGGAAGGGGGGGAGTGGGTAGAGGGGGGGCGAAGGGTGGGGAAGGGAATAGAGAAAGGGGGAAAGGAGAGGGACGTGGGCGAAGGTTTCAGGGAAAAGGCAGGGACAGGAGGAGGCATATGGGTAGGGAGAGAATGCGTTACGGAAGACAGTGCCAGTGGCTACGGCAGTGGCCGCACCGATAGCAGTGGAAATGACAGCAATTACAGATACCAACAGCAAAAACGTCAGGGATATTGGAGAGTGCAATAACGGATTGACTCTCCTTACCGCGCATGTCTGGCTATGCGCGGGCTGATGCCTGCTCAAGCACTTGTCGTTGCAATACACAGCCTGGCGGCACTTGGGGCAGCGCACGGGGTTGCTTCCGCCCACTCTCCGCGCGCACAGCGCGCACGCCTGCCGCGGGTGCGACCTCCCCAGGATGCACCCGCTGGGCAGCCCGCAGAAGTAGGACGAAACGCCTCCTAGCGTCGCGTTCGGGCTTCCGGGCGGGCTCAAGTCGGGCGCGCGCGGAGACGCGGTAGGGCTGGCGGGATAGTCTTCGTCGTCGTCGCAAACACCATTCTGCTGCTGGTTGTGATTTTGATGCTGTTGCTGCTGGTGGTGCTGCTGTTGGCGCTCCTGCTGCGGCTGCGCCGCTTGCGCGGGCGCTTTCCGCAAGGGGTGCAGCTCGCACAGGCATCCGGGCGTCGTGCGCGGGCCTGAACCCGACTCCGAAAGCTCCGCCCGCCTGTCTGAATCCGCCCGTGGGGAGCCTGCTTCCGCCGCCCCCCCTCCGCCCGGAGCCGCGGTCTTGGGCGGAGAGAGCCGCGCGCCACCCCCGGCACCGCCCATCGCCGCGTCGGTTGAGTGCCTGAGCGGGTGGTTTGCGGAGAGGTGGGGCGGTTCCGCCATACCCGCGCCGTACGTGGCGGAACTATCACTGGATCGATGCGCGGGTGCAGTATCCTGCCGGTCCATGCGCAACAACGGCTGCGCCTGTAGCGCCGGTTGCTGATGGCTTTCCGGTAGCTGAGACGGCTGCTGCTGCTGCTGCTGCTGAAGCTGCTGTTGCTGCTCCTGTTGCTGCTGATGCAGACTCTGCTGCTGCTGTTGCTGGCGGGATTGACCCCCGGAAAACGCCGAGCCTAGTTCCGCCCACACGCTCAGGAGCGCAAGCCCGCCTCCGCCGCCGCCCCCAGCCCCTCCGCCAGTCCGCTCGTCCACGCGGCTCATGCTGTTGCTGGTCGGAAACACGCGCAGCGGCGAGCGCGGAACAGCCTCCGCAATCTCGGAGCTTGTCTCACTGTCTATTAAGTCCCCCTCCTCCTCCTCTAAGATTGTCCGCGCAAGCCCTAGAGACGCCGCGCGCGGAGTTCCCATCCCGCCTCGCCCAGCGCCGCGAAATTCGCCTTTCTTCGCGGCGGAAGCGGCGGGGCCTGAGAGCTTCCCCGCACCCGCCTTGTGCGCGATCCTTCGTTTCGGGGAGATGCCGCCGGATTCTAGAAGCGCTGCTGCTGCTGATAGGGATGCGCAGGCCGATGCCGAAGCGGCCATCGAAGCAGATGCGCATGCAGATGCGGATGCGGGTGTGAGTGTGAGAGGGGAAGACCAAAAGGAATTTCCCTGCTGCTGCAGCTGCTGCTGCTGCTGGGTTGACAGAACCGCTATCCCTCTCCCCGTGCCGGCCCGCACTGGCGACAAGAGCTGGCGAAGCGGCGACGACACGTCGCGGTCTTCGCTCGTCGTCCCGCTGATGTCGCTTTCGCCATCGTCGCTCTCTCTGCTCGTTCCTTGCTCGCTTTCCTGGAGCATTGACGAGCTAAGCACGACGGGAAATTGCTCGTCTTCGTCTCGCGAGCTCGAGCAACCCGATAAAGAACACCCCGATAACGAGCCAGCGATCCGGCTTCCATCCGCGGATTCGCATGCAGTCAGTTCTGTTAGTGACCCGCCGCTCGGCTCACGTAGAATTCCTATACGCATGTTAGGGTTAGAGGTGTGTCACCTCTGCGTGAAATAGGTAACGTTTCGCTCGAAGCTAAGGTTCTGTACCACCTTGACCAACGGAAGGCCCGGTTGTATCAACAATATGTGATTGAGAAACTACGGCTGAAAAAAAAGCTTGAAAGTGCAGGGGTTTCCACTGTGTCTGTTTCGAGACGTTGCTGTTGCTGATACTGCTGTTGCAGGGAGTCTAAGCTAGAAGATGATTACGTAGTGCACTGTACTTAACTCACTGCTGCCCCTACTAATTGGTGTGCCAGGAGGGAACAATCAAACCGCCTGGTCTGACAGCACCATGCCTCCATTGTAGGTTTGGAATACCGAAGGAGAGACTTACAAGGACGGCGAAAACAGGTGCGGAAACAAGCAAAGATAAAACCGCGGGTTCTTTGGTTTGATGGGGTTACTTCTTCAACAGTGAAACGAACTTGGCTATCACTCGTGTCATTTATGGTCAGGACCCCGAAACACTATCGACACGACCCACCACATCTGCTGCAGCAGAGCAGCAAGCACAGCAGTTACACATGAATGCACAAGAAGTGAAACACGAGGTTGGTTTTGGGAGGGGGATGACGGGAAGAGGTGAAGGGGGGGTGGGGGGGAGCGAGAGAGAAGGAAAGCGGTAAATTGAGAAGCTCCTCCTACACAAAGCGTTACACACCCCGCATTCCCCCACCGCATACACACGACCCAAACCAAGCTCCCTCGCGCGCGAGCTCCACCGCACCGACACACAACGGACAGCAGTAACTCCGGCCACCACACCAACCGAAAAAGAGGGCTTCCGAGTCTTTGAGTTTTGCGGAACCCCGAGCGTACAGTTCCCGATCGCAGGAAGGCAGGGCAGGGCAGTGAGGATACAGCTGCCAGTACACGTATCACTGTGCTATTCTGACAGTGTACTCCCTGCCCTGCACCTAGAAGAATGGGGCCATCTTCACAAACTACCCTAATTGCCTCAGACAGGGACCAGAAAGATTAGGAAGTGAAGGGGTTGGAGTACTGCTGGCACATTGCGCTCGCCATAGACAAACGAGTATGAATCGTACCGCTCGTTGTTACGCTGCTGTCACACCACAACAATAAGTAATGTTCTCAAGAAAGCGTGGTGCGGACCAGAACATAGGGATGCTCAAGTATTTGCTAGGGTATTCTCGGCACAAAGCTTCCTTCGCACCTGCCCATTAACCATCGAATGTCAACTGCTGCCTCTGGGTAACTTTGGCGGGACACCCAGGATTTTTACCCGAACCAGTCTGTGGCACTCCATAGCCAGCGGGATTCCGAAACGTGGCTGCAGCGTATTGGGACGAGACATGTGTGACTGAATCTTGTGTCAAGCTTTACCGGCGCCCAACCACACAATCCACGCTTCGCCCATTCACTCTGACAACCCCCAACGATTGTGCCAACTCGATAAGAACAGGTGAGTGGAAACTGTACAGAACAGAAATCCAAAACAGAAAACGCATAACCGCGTGTCATCTAACCCTTTTCTGTTACTGGTTGCTCCAACAAAGACACACCCCACCATCGGTCGAACAGGCCATGGACATGACATAGGAGGCTAGTTAACAAAACATCTATACCAGGCTGTTCTTTTTTTTTTTTGGTTCACAACAATCATAATTTCTCCAGTCACGAAACATTCAGTGACAATGTACAGTATCGCTTACAATTTAAGAAGTAGCCACAGATTTCAAACCGGCTCAGCCTGGATCGTAAGGGGCAATGTTGAAATGAAGTCCTTCGCGCTTGCGGAGTTAAAGTCGTAGCTGAGTAGCCTGTCCACAAGGTTCTGCACAGACAAAATGCTGTTAGTAAACAAGGTTACAGTAATGACAGGTACCACGACGGAATGAATCCTACCTTGTAACATTTGTCCCTCCCAGATGTGCGAGCATTAGACAGCCTTTCAACAGGTATCCCCGCCTGTATCTTGGATTGGATTTCACGAGAACGGTCAAGTACAGCTCGAGGAAGTCCTGAAATCACAATTTTGAGAAACTCCTTGGTATTCAGCAATGTACGATGACACCAAAGATCTGATCAGCTCACCTGCTAGACGAGCACAGTGTATTCCATGGCTGTCTAGATTACGCCCAGGTTTAAGGCTGCAATCATAGAGGCAATTAAACTGTGTAAGAAGCCCTTGCATACTTGCATCGCTGTAACAAAATACCATACCGGTACAGAAATGTGATTTCGTTGGACCCTTCAGCAGTTTCAGGCTGCTCCAATATAGCCATGGTGCAAAACGTGATTTGTGCAGACTGCTCATAAAGCCATGACAAGACAAATTAGTGGAGCTGAATGGCAAGCTGAGAAGTTACATAAGGAGCTTACAGGATTCAGGAGGTTTTGATTCATGATTTCACTGAAGTGGGTGCAAACGAGTAGCTTGGGTGGAATTGGTTGAGCTGCCATAAACCCAAGTGTGGAGCAAAGGAGACCAACACCATCTGCGCAAATAACAAGGAAAAAAGGTCGTGCAGCTGCAAAGCCAGACTGTAAGATAAAGGTTACCAAGTGCGCAACTGTACCTGCAACTAGAGTTCCCTTTCCAAATTCATCCACAATGCAAAGAGAACGTGACGTTGCAAGGCTGATCATCCTCGATACTTGTTTCAGATCACTCGAAAATGATGACTGATTGCTAGACCCAGATTCACAATTGCCAGCCCTTGTAAAGATTCTGCAAGAAGCTTGCCGAAAGTGAGGATAGATAAGATTGGTGACGGCTCAATTATCTCGTACCTGTCCGTGAGACCAATGACCGCGCTTTCAGCAGGTACAAAACTTCCCACATGGGCCAAAAACACAATGAGAGCAACCTGCAGAAGCCCCACCTTGAAATATGTTTTCTCCAAAAAAGATCAAGAACAGTTTGGTATACAGACCTGCTTGACATAAATGCTTTTCCCAGAGAAGTTTGGACCTGTGATGACAACTATCCTGCCTGCCAAGAGACATTGGAGCTGGCATTTGTTGAATAACACGTGGATATCAGGGATGAAGAGGAAAAGTATACACCGCTCACCTGAATCTTGGTTGATGCTGGTGTTATTTGGGACAAACGTATCGACCACAAGCTCCTGAAGCAAATGCCTGAGGGAAAAGTAACGACTTACATACCCATGGTGTTTGCAAAGACCACAAGATCACTTTACAGCGTTATTCACCTTCCATTCGTAATCTTCAGCACGTTTTCCTTGGTCAGTCGTGGCTGCTTTAGATTGAATTCTCGAGCAGAAAGAGCCAGAGACACAAGACTGGCAGCAGAAAACACATTGTCGAGAGAGTAAAAAAAAATTGCAGCAAGTGAAAGCAGAATACAAGAACAACCCTCTCACCAATCAATTTCAGCAGCCACTGCAAACGCCACATTCAAAGCATCGGAATGCTCAAGGACACGGCCCTCAAGATCACGAATAATCACACTCTCCATGTCTGCACCATAAAATTTACGGTGTCAACAATATCACAACCGGCAAATACGGATATGAATGCAGCAGACATTACCTAGGATCTTGTGGAACACATCACCAAGAACCTGATCTAGTTCCCTGGTCTTATCCGTGTGGTAAAAAGAAGCAGCGCCATCACCATTGTCACCTTCAAACTGTTTGAAACTTTGTCACGAAGCAAGAGAATAAAGTAGATGGAAAAAAACTGCAAGAAGCATCAATGAACATACCGCAAACCGATAATCTAGAAGGCCCTCCATTGCTTCGTCAGAAAACGGTGGCCCTTCAAAGCGCATCAAGTAGCCTGCATAGTTCATGGCCAATGTATGATTCCTGTTTGTCAAGTTCAAACACATATCATTGCTCTGTCACTGACCAACTTGAGGCATGTAGACAATTGAAGGTGACTCGGATGCTTCAGCCAAACCAGATGGCATCTTCTTCAGCTCCTCTTGCACAACCTAAACAGAGAACGAAGGATTGCAGCCAGCAGAGATATGACAATGTTGTGATGGCAGAACAGAGCCATACCTCTGTTAAGAAGTCAGGAAGACCCTCATACAACTGTTTCAACTCGTCCAACTGCAGCAACAAGAATTAGCGTTTGCACAAAACAGTGCATGAAATGGACAATACGTAACGTAAGGTAATATGAGAGCATACCTCTTGGCAAATGCCATACGCGATCATTGTTTCTTGTGATGTTCCGCACACTTGGTCAAATTCAATAACTCCACTGATCTGTTAATCAAGAGTTGAAGCACGCAATGGATATTGATTAAAGGCACACAGGTAGCCACCAAATCGTGGACGGAACATGCTCTCGACTTACCAAGTCCCTTATGTAGGTCAGATGATCACTGAATGCTTCAAAGACCTGCTAAAATCAGCCTCAGTTAGAGTTTCCTTTTGCACCTCAAACTATTATGTTTCAGCTTAATAGCGAACGTCGTCACCTTTGGGATAAGGGGAAAAGCAGCGTTGCTACTTTTCTCAGCTTGCCACTGTGCCACAGTGACTTCAAACACTTCACGGACTTCAAGCAAGTAGCTCACAGACTGCTTAGACATCAGAATGTCAGGGGCTGTTCAAGGTTGCACTCAACATGAATAACAAAAAGACTACCCACCTCAAGTAGCTGAAGCCAGTCCTTACGGGTGACGACTGTGGTTGCTGACTTTAACTTCTGCATTCGCAAGATTTTTCCTAATGAAGATAAAAGGCATCCATAGCTGAAGAAGCACCACCCTAAGAGGACAGGAGATGCTTACCAACAACAGTTTTGGGATGTCCTTCACATGTTGAAGGAAAGAATGCAGAGATGTAAGCAGCTCGGGAAAAGATGACAAGAATGATATCTGCAAATAATATGCACCCTCTTAGCACGGTTGCCGCAAGCATTTTTTTCATAAAAAAAAAAAAAAAAAAAAAAAAAAAAAAAAAAAAAAAAAACAACAACAAAAAAAAAAAAAAAAAACTCACTGCTTGATGTCGATCTTGGATCACTTGCAAATCTACAATTGGTCGCAGAAACCACATCCTGTAATCATGCAACCATCAGTTGTATGTATCTTCGAATCATAAACATTTCAAATACGACTCACCTAAGCATGCTTCGTCCTCCAGCTGTCACACACTTATTCAGCAATCCAAACACAGAGAATCTGTTAGAAAACAGTTATTGAGAAGGTTATCACTCGCTCTTATGATAGATAAGAGACGATATAGAGAAGCAAACGATATGATACCCTTCTTTAGTCTTGCCAATGCCCATAGGGCTGGGATGCTTGTCGCTCTGAAATATCTGCAAGCTGTTTAGGGTCCATGAGTCCACTGACAAAAAACCATCTCTGTCAGAAAAAAACGAAAGGAAAACAAGAGGAACAAAAGAGGTTAGAAATAAATCCACTCGAGATTATGAAGTGAGGTTTATCTACGTACAAATTCAGTTGGGAAATGCTTCCTATCCGAACTCCAAGAGAAGCAGAGTCTCCGTCATTGTCAGTGACCTCAACATTGTCCAATATCATTTCTTGCTGAAGTACCGTGAGCAGAGCACCCAGTGCTCTGACTTGCACATCGTCCTCCAGCCTAATCTTGGTGTTGAGCTACATTTTGAGAAAGAAAGGAGTAAAAAAAAAAGTCAATCAGTGTGCGAGTGGCGTGTGCACACAGTTTCTGAACCTTAAGCACACGTACAAGTTGCAACCTATGAGACGCATTCAACCCCTGGGGCATGCCGCTCCACTGTAAGAACGTAAGTCTGCAACAAGGAAATGTTTTCCAGAAAAGCTTGGCACAGGTAAGCATGGAAATGACAAGGAAGAAAGAAAGGACGGAGAAGGGACGGAAGCATGAGGTAAGGAGAAGAAAAGGAGGAGGGAAGGAGAAGGGAAGGAGAAGAGACGGAGGTAATTTAGGTAATCAGGCAGGAAGGCGGGAAAGGGAGAGAAGGAAGCGGCAGGTGGAGGTAACCTGCGAAGGAAGGCGAGGGAGTGGAAGAGTTATATCAGTGAACCTACCTGTTCTGAGCGTGTTCATAACCGAAAAGGTTGCTCTTAACAGTCTTCACAAAATAATTGCTTCCACCTTCCTCAACTGCAGCAACCGAGAACATGGTGAGTGTGCAACCGCCTAAACTTACAGACCTATCGAGTCGACACGCTAAGTACCTGGTGTTGCCAAGGCATTAAGAAAGGCCTTGTCTGCTTTAGTGCTTGCGATGATGACTGTTGGCTGCTCCTGGAATTTTACTGCACCACCAGATCTGTACTTTTCACAAACTGGGCGCCGAAGGAAGTTGCTCAGTACAGAAACTACTTACACAGCTGAATAGTGGGAAATTCTCCTGATGCTGACTCTTCCCAGGTTTCCGTCGTCACCAGCTGTTGCGTTCCGGCGTTGTAACACGCAATACCAAGCCTGTTGGACGAACAAAATGAAAATATACTCCAGCATCCGGCGAGCCATTATAAAGAATTGCTTACTTTTGCCCTAAGAGAATGCAGGCCATGAAAACCTGCACGGGACATGATCAGCTCGGATTAGAAACCAGATAGCACCGAGTGGGCTTGTAATTGCTCCTTGCCTGCGGTGCGTCCACATCGATTGGGTCATCGCCCTCTGCAGCTTTGCTGGGAGACCTGGAGTATTGAGCAGGAGAACCTGAAGCCATGGCACTGCTAGGAAGAGAGTGGAGAAAGCCGAAGTTTGTGTTTGATCAGTCTGTTTGAAAAGTTAATACTGTAGTCGACGACCTCGGAGACCGCCAAACCTCCATTTGCGGCGGCAATATCGAAGACCGCCGAATATGGACAGACTCCTGTACAGAACAACGAAATATCCGTACACCTGAAACATGGATAGACCCTTAGATTATACAGAAAAAAGTGGTGAATTTCAGGTTGTCCAGCCTGTTGATAGGAATTTGAGAATTTCAAGAGGTTTGAAAAAATTGTGCACTTTGAGTGAAAACGCAATAATATTTTATGTGGCATTTTACTTCGGACAGTTGCCAGTTATTCATAAATGCAAGTTTCCCGGAGCAGCTTGTTTCTGCAGCAAGTTTCCCTTGACTTCACTGAGCAAGTTTAGCTTTGCGGACAGGCGATTTCCACAATGGTGCGCAAAAAGGGTGGTAGTCACAGGTCAGAGGCTCGTAACCGGACCCGCGATGACTACCTCCTGCATCCACCTGAATCTATCGTAGCCGAGCCTCCGCCGCCAACCTCGCCTGGTTATGAGAGCGATGAGGATTCACATGCGGAAGAGTGCGTCGCGACAACGGCGGGGAAGATGGAGGAAGACGAGCTCAAGTTCGTCCTGTATCAACGTGCGGTGCAGGTTCGTTCTCCGCATGCCATCTTGAACGACAGAATATTGTTAGGCGCTTCAAGAGTCCTCACATTCAGCTCGAATTCCCGAGTTCGAAGCCATTTGTCATCCTCCTACAGTAGAAGATCGACGTGGCGCGGTAATTTTCGTGTAAGTACACGTTATAAGGCGCATTTGCACACACCTGGTTTCTTCACGGCATCATGCAACTCCTCCACTCGTCACGCCTCCTGTAACCTCCTTTTACTCGCCCTGGTCTCCCTGATCCGTCCCTCGCCATGCCTGCAGTCTCCCCGCGGTGACATCAGCTATCTGCTTAAGTTCTTTCTCAACTACGTGGGCGGCCGCGTCCCCCAGCACCTGCACGAGGACTTCTGCGGCACAGCGCTCATATGGTGCGTGCGTGCTGGCCGGCTCGAAAGCGCTCGTTTAGGGTGCGTGCTGCACTGGTCAAAGCGTGTGTGCTCATATGCCGCGTTACAGTAGCATCATGCCGCTGGCGGGTCACCAGGTTCTACAGCACGAGATCCTTCACCCAGCCATTAAACCCTGAACCTTCCAATGCACACCTTCATCCCTTCTCTCGCACACACACACACACACACTCGCCTCGTTCTGTCTAACCCTATATTTCTCCTCTCACTTCCCCAACTCCAGCTTATCCTCGACCAGTCCCTGCCATTCCATCATTCCCTTGCTTTTTTCAAACACTCGACTGAAACTAACTTCTTTATCAATCTCCCTTTTGCTCCATCTACTTCCACCCCACCCCCCTCCCTCTTCCTGCTCTTCCCTCCCGCCAGAGCAGTGCCGAGTGGTTACGAGGAGATCCCCGTCGCACTGCCCTCGGCCTAGACATTGACGAGCAGGCCCTCACCTGGGGCATTCGTGAAAACTTTTCCAGCCTGCCCGGCTCAGCCCGTGGACGCGCATGCATGCTGCTTGGAGACGTGCGTGACCCTCTCACCTCCGCCCGCTTTGCGTGCCCGGACGTTTTAGACGAACCAGAGGGCGAGAGCGAGCAATCAAGTGCAACCAGGGAGGTACGGGACTCAGGGGAAGTTGATGCAGCTGCTGCTGCTACCGTTGCTGTAGGCCCCGTCTGGCCTCAATTGGAAAGGCTGCGACGGCAACGTGCGGACCTGATCTGTGCGTTCAACTTCAGCTCCTGCTGCCTCCTGCATCGCTCCGAGCTTCTGGCCTACTTCAAGAGCGCTCGCGCTAGGCTTGCAGGCAGTGGGAGTGGTGCGGAGGGTGTGGCAGATGGTGCGGCTGGCAGTGGTGGTGGTGGAGGAGGGGGAGGGGGAGGGGTGTTTGCAATGGATCTGTATGGAGGCACGTCTTCTGAGGGGGCATTGAAGCTGCACCGGAGATATGGCGACATGGATGTGAGTCATAGGGGAAGAGGGTGGGTCGAGGAGGAGAGAGGGGGGAAAGGGGAGGGGCGGGGTTGAGCCTTTGGTTTTAAAATTAGTTACATTCAAGTATGGCCATAATTGCAAATTCTCCGGATTAGTTTCTACCATCTCCCTCACATACTCTCTCACTCCCGTTCGCCGGGTTCTGCTCTCTCCTCTCTCTTTTCTCCTGTGTATTTCCTTATCCTATGCATGCCACCAGTACACGTGGGAGCAGGAGCGCTTTGATGCTGTGACGCGCACCACCCGCATATCTCTGCACTTCCGCGTGCCACATGACTGGGCGCCTGCCTCGTCCTCCGCCCCTGCAACACACTCCACACCACGCAGAGGCGGCAGGAAGCGCCAGCAGCCCAAGCGCGTCTTGCGCAGTGCATTCAGCTACAGCTGGCGCCTGTATGTGTTCCTATTTTCGTTGTACTTTTCTCTGTTTTTTTGTTATTTCATTGGAAGTTGTGCTTCATAATTTCGGCTTCAGTGTGGATGGCTTTAACAGTTTGGCAAAAGCTCTGCCAGACATTCTCCGTCGTTCACTTCGAACCGTTCCTTCCCTCACCGTTTTGTGTGTGTAATGTGTGTTGCTCCTACCTTGCAGCTGGACAATCCCCGAAGTGCGTGAGTTGATGCAGGAGGCAGGTTTTGACTCTGTCCACGTGTGGATGCGCAAGATGCCGGATCTTGCCGACCGGGAGGATGAGGAAGAGGAGGTGGAGATGGATGAGCATGCTTCTTTTGAAGAGGTGGAATCGTTTTTGCAGACAGACTCATGGAATGCTTATGTGGTTGGGGTTGTAAAGCCAAGGAGAGGCAAGGTAAAGGAAGTGCTATCATAGGGCTGTGAATGGTTGTTCTTGTAGCACAACGCTGGATGAAAATGCGCGTGCTTTGCACAGAAATGTTGGGTTATCAGCAGCCTATACTCAACAAAACGCTTGTTTACCTGTATGAGGATTGTTACTTGCATTTCCAGCGTTCAAAGCAGTCAAATAGATATACCAGGCCGTGCTTTATCAGCTGCGCGTCTGATCTCAGCGAGTTCGTGAATCTTCAAAAGGGTGGTCACGGCGAGCACGGGCAGTCGCTTCGAAAGTCGCATATATATAGGCGCATTGAAGCAGAAAATTTCTTAGTACTTCAGTTCTCTGGCATCAATGTTGTCTGGGCTCTTGGGTCCTGCAGCCTATTTAGGACTTACGCCGCATTTGTCCTGCTGAGTTCCGTGCTAGGCTACAGCACACCGTGTTTGAATGGATTCACTAGTGCACGCTGGTCCGCCATAGCAAGAAGGCGGAGAAGAGGGGGGGAGGATCCACGCAGTGCGCCACGATGCGGTCAAGGGGGAGGGAGAGGGGTAGGGGGGCGGAGAGGGAAATTTCGCATACTGGCGGGAATAGCACGGGGTCTGATTGGTGGATTTGGCTGTCAAGGCGCGGCCTTGGCGCTCCCAGCACGAATCTGGCGCATAGGAGGTTCAGGCAGGCACGCGCGGTGCTTTTAACAGCTCTGGCGGTTGTGGCTGGGCTGGGGACGCTGTTTCTGCTGCTTCTGTTAGATTCTGGTCTGGCTGGTACGAAGCTACCTCCTTTCATTCTTCCCTGAACATCGCGACAAAAGAGTGTGTGGACACTCATAGCTTGAAAAGAGCGAGTCGGTCGGAACTCATTTCTCTCGGCTTTCTCAACCCTCTTCTTGTCCGTCTTGATTAATGACAAACGGCTCCCACTGTATCTTCCTGCCTTATGGCCCGTCAAGCGGACCATAAGGCAAATGCGCGTCAACAGATGGTCCTTCAGACCAACACTAATCTCCTCCTGTGTCTTCATCCCTTCCCTAACATTCATGACACATCCCCTCCTTTTTCATGCAGAAGGACAAGCGGAGGGAGGAAAAGCAGCAAGTGCATCTGCGAGCGCGGCTGTGGTTCTGCCGGCATGTGCAGTGCAGCTGCCACAGCTAGCTGGCACGCAGTGGACACAAGCTGGTGCTGACGTGGACATGTGAGCGGTAATCTTCGCACCAGATGAGATGGCCTGACATGTTTAGCATGGTGCTGAGATTTTTTTGCATCGCATGACATGACACGGCATCCCATGGCATCCCAGCCTATCCCATAAATTGGCACCATGTTCCATCCTGCATCAGTGCATGCAGTGGAAGTACACTGTCGTTCTTTAGTCCCTGACCGTCTCGCACCTGTGCATGCGTGCGTGCGTGCGTGCGTGCGTGCGTGCGTGCGTGCGTGCGTGCGTGCGTGCGTGCGTGCGTGTGTGTGTGTGTGTGTGTGTGTGTGTGCACGTATGAGTGTGCATGTGGCAGGGTGTATGTATCACGACAACCCATCACACACGCCGATGTGCAGGACGAGCATCACCCTTCCGATCTAAGCACCCCACTGCATCTATCTGGTCACCCTCCCTCTGCTCCTCCTCCTGCTGCCAATACTGCCACAACTCCTTCTGCTGCCACAGCACCCAGTCCCTCCCCCACTGCTGCTAAGCAGGAGGCATTTCTGGTCGCAGCATGGGCTGACACACACCAGCCGTTGAGCCCTCTCCCTGCTGCACCCGCCACACCTGCTGCTGCTGATAGTGGCGGTGGGGTGTGGGGAGCGGGAATGAGGGTGTGGAGAAGCCGCAGGGACTTGGCTAGAATCTGGCCAAAAAGGACTGCAGGTGGGGGGGGGACCAAGTCCACCACTGCTACAGGGAGCAGCAGCAGCAGTGACAGCACGGTTACTGCTAGCAAAACCACGGCAAGAAGCTGCAGTGCTGACTCTTTGCAACACCCGTCTGCTCGCGTCGTGCTGCTGGTGGCAGGGAACGATGCCTTTGTGGGTGGAATGGACGACTGGCAGGCTCTTGTGTGCGTGCAGATGCGAGCCCTGTGCCATGCACACGGCAGCATGTATAGCACCGTTGACTGGTTAAATTCGACTGCGCTTAGAAGTGGTTGTGGCCGGTCGTTTAGTTCAGGCCATGCAAATGGTGTGGATAGTGAAGGATGGAGCAGGGAAGGGGAGGAGAGTGGAGAGGGCGGGGGAGGTGAGTGGGTGTGTTGGCGCAGTGGGCGGTGTTGCAGTCTCACAGATGAGGATGACAGGCATGGGAGGCAACACCAGCAGGTGCAGGTGCGTGCGACGCACCGCTAAGAATCGCTGACTCTTTTTTTTCTTTGCGCAGCTGAAACATCGAGCCTAAGGATTCTTTTGGAGAGGGACTCTCCCCAGGCATCGCATGGCCTCAATGATACGTCAATCTTTAGTTCGGTAATGCTGACTCATACTTTGCTTCGCCACATGCTTCTCATGCTTTGCTGACTCACTTGCGTTACTCGCCATCATCCCTCCCCCCAGATGCACTGCCCTCTGCCACTTCACGTTGCTGCACTTCACAATCAACCCTCTGGCAACACAGCAGCACCCCTTGCAGTGGCAGTTTCTCTCATCCACCGCCTCACTACCGATACACACCTTGCTGCTGCTGCTGCTGCAGCTGCTGCCGCTGCTGCTGGTACTGCCTCCTGTGCTGGCAGCAGCAGCACCGCAATTTCCGTGAAGAGTGAGACCAGTAGCGATAGCAGCAGTACCACTGGTTCCAGTAGCGATGGGAGCAGTGCAAGCACAGGAAGCAGCAGCAGGGATAGTCTAGAGAGGGGTGGTCTGCCGTTTGTGCGGCTCAACTGGATTGGCACTCACGGGAGGAGGGTTGATGTTGGTGGAAAGAAAGGCCCACCGGGTGGAGCACATCAGCAGCAGCAGCAGCAGCAGCAATAGATGGAGCAGAGGCAGCAGCAGAAGCAGCAGGGGAGGCAGCGACAGGGCAAGGAAAAGGGGGAAGTGGCGTCGAATCCGATGGTGGTGGGAGTGATGAGAGTGACGCTGGTCCTCTCCAGCTCACTGTGTGCACGGGCCCTCTCTTCTTTGACATCTCTGTAAGCTTCTCACATATCTTGACCTCTCCTTTGTCGCCAGAACAGTGTTTTGAGTCGTCTCAAAACACGGTGTGCACAGGACCCCTTCTTTTCTCATGTACCTTGATCTCTCCTTCGCTGCCAGAACGGCCCTGATGAGCTTTCTCTGAGTCACTACGTGCTGTGCGATCAGCTTCCCGTGTGCCTCGACCTCTCCTTTCCTCTCCATGACCTTCCATAGGTGTGTAGTGAAGCTCCTTTGAATCGCTACATTTTGTGCTTTAACTCGACCTCTTCTCTCTTCGCTGTATGTCACTCGTGTATCTCAACCTCTTCTCTCTTCTCTCTTTCCAGTTGCACGTGTCATCTTGTGGCTGGAGTGGCTGCACTTTGTGCACCTCATGGGAGCCCAACACATCACAACATACACCATCGACAACGAGAGCTACTCCCTCTCCTCCCTTTATCGAGGCGCCACAAAATGCACATACTTCCTGCTCCTTCTCTCCCGATCCCTCTCCCGCATCCCCCTCTCGCCCCCCCCTGCCCGTCCCTTACCCTTCGCTCGGCTTTCCAACGCCCTCTTTCCCGCAGCCCCTGTGGCTGGAGTGGCTGCACTTTGTGCACCTCATGGGAGCCCACCACGTCACAGCATACACCATCGACAACGATAGCTACTCCCTCTCGCCCGTCTCCCGCACTCTCCTCCGCTTCTCCGCCCTCCGCTGGCCCTCGTTTCTCTCCCTCGTGCTCTGGGACCTGCCTTTCACCGAGGTTTGAAATTCTTGAATCCTTTTGTGGCGCCTCAAAACGCCTTTCTCTCCCTCGTGCTCTGGGACCTGCCCTGTTCTCTCGTGCTCTGGGACCTGCCCTGTTCTCTCGTGCTCTGGGACCTGCCCTGTTCTCTCGTGCTCTGGGACCTGCCCTGTTCTCTCGTGCTCTGGGACCTGCCCTGTTCTCTCGTGCTCTGGGGCCTGCCCTGTTCTCTCGTGCTCTGGGACCTGCCTTTCACTGAGGTATGAAGTCAATGAAACCACGTACGTCCTTTGGCGCTCGGTTTGCTCGCGTGCAATCAGAGACCTGCCCTTCACCAGGGCAGGCATGACCCTTGGTGGTGGCTTCGTCTTATTTCACATCTCAAAGGTGCGATGCCCCTTCACCGAGGTGCAACCAACTCTTAACCAACTCTTGGTGACTTTCAGTTAGACTCTTAACCAACTCTTGACCAACTCTTATGCCCTTCGCCGAGGCTGAAGCCATGCCCACCGGGCCGGCCCTCGCTCCACTTCCTCCATGCTCTGCTACCAGCCTCTGAAGCCGCTGATATGCTCTTCGATGTGAAGCTGTTTGAGATAGCTTTTCTGATACGCCTTGCCCCGTCCAGCTTATCTTAGGCACTATAATGATCTCCATCTCTCTCCTCTCTCACTCTCACCTCGCTCACATGTCTCACCCTCCTCTCTCATTCCCCCGCCGCGTCCCCTCTCTCACTCTTCCGCTCTCACTGCTCTCGCACTCCTCTCTCAATCCTCTTGCGATCACCAGGTGAACGGACAACCCAACCAGAGACCATCTGGTCTGGACATGCACTACAGGGCTCAGCGTCTCTTCCTCCTTGACTGCTACTTCCGCTCCCACTCCCACTCCCACTCTCACACACACCCCCACACTCACCCCCACACTCATTCCCACTCGCACACTCACTCCCACACGCACTCTCGCACTCACTACCAACCTCCCTTGCACGCCGTGCTCTTCCTGGACCTGGACGAGTTCCTGGCTCCGCCCTCCTTCTCCCCGCTGCTGCTCAAGAACCTGCCATCACTGGAGAGCATGCCTCGTACCTGCTCTGCTTTGGATGATTCCGCTGACAGGCGGCGCAGCAGCAGCAGCAGCAGCAGCAGCAGCATCTGGAATTCGATCCTTTCTCCTGTGAGCCCCCTCACATTGTATGGAAACTTTATTCTTTGCACTCTCTGCTTCGGCGCATTTCACCTCCTTTCCTCAACCCTCCCAAACCCCACCTCTCCCCTCCAAGCTGCCTGCCTTTCTCCAACCTTTCCTACACCACTACCATCAGTTACCCCTCATCCCATTACCGGCATCTTTCTCCTCCCGGGCTTGTGCGTCCCTGCCATACCACTCCCGACCCCCCTCCCCGTTCTTCCCATCCCCCCTTCTCCCGCCTCCCCCTGTATCTGCACTATCATCCCCACCAGCTTCTCCGTGATCCCACCACCGGAATGCTTCTCTTCCGCAGCTGGTGGTATCCCCATGTGCCCTCTCCTTCCTCACCCCCTCCTCCATCTTTGTCTGATGCTGCTGCTTTTCCGCACATCCCAACCCAGGTAAGTGTTCCACTCTCTAATGCTCGGCCCGCATTTCTTTCTGTCTTTAGATTCACCAAGCTCTCTCACCCCACCATGCCGCCCTCCTCTCTCTTTTGACTCCCAGTCCCTTCCCTTCTTATCACACCCTCATCCCATTCTGCCATTTAACTTGTTTCCCTATTGACCCTCCCTTTCACCCTCAACCCACCCCTTCTTTATTCTCCCTCTCCGCCCTCTCCTCCCTTCATTCCCGCCCAATCTTCCAGCCACCGCCACTACTGACAGCAAGCAGCACGCATAGGGACCGGCGCATGTTTCAGAACCGCCAGCGAGCCAAATATGCCTTCCCGCTAGGAGGCGCCATTGCCTTCAGCATACACCGCCCCGTGCTCGTGAGTGCTCGATGATTGATGTGTTCATTTTTTTGTGTCTATATATGGCTATCATGGATGGCTCTCACAGCCCATGATTTTACTTGTAGTCCCTGTATCTATATATGTATATATATATATATATATATATATTTACATATTTATTCATTCTTTTTAAATTTGCTTTTCTTTCCCTTTTGCAGCTCTCACAGGGAAAGCTTCTTGTGGATGTTCCAATGGATACAGCGTACATTCGCCACATCACATCCCCGTCCACCTCATTTGTAGTCAACCAGACTCCCACCAATCGTCCAAACAATGAATTTACCCTCCCTCCACTTGAAAAAGACATGTCAATGCTTGATATAGCACCGATACTGAGCTGCCAAGTGGACACGACATGGCAGCATTTCCTTAACTGGGCAAATCAAACATCTAACGATGAATTTGTAGTCTTGTAATTGTACACGCTTGAGTCATTGCAGCTCCTTCAATCCAACAATAAGTTTTCCTGCCCTTGGCGTCCTGCTAAAATCTGGCTGTCGTCAACCTGATGTGTTTACTTCCAAAGGAACTCTTTTGGTACCGGTAGGTTCTACTGCACCCATTCAAGTACTGTGGGTACTCTGAATAGTACGGTATGTTCTGTCATTAGAGGCTTATCCGAACCCACCTTCGTACTGCTGCTTTGCTGTTTCTGCACACTGTGTTCGACCTGCAACCACTACGGCAGGCATATTCACGCGTCACCTCTGTCCCTTTGCCCCTCGCCCCCCTTCTGTTTTCCCCCTCTTCTTCCACCCTCCTCTGTGTGGCTCTTTCTGGGATGGTTGAGCAGAAGAAGAACGAGCTGGATAAGATGCAGAAAAAGTACCGGTATGGCGTGTCAGGGTAACAGAAATGGTGCATATCGGTACAGCTTCGTACAGCTTCCTTCATGCCAGGGAACCAAATTGTTTCTATATTCTAAGCCCGGAACAAAAGCACCAGCAGAATGCAAGGCACATGCACTGGTACATGGAACACTGTAGTTACTGACACATGTACACTGATCCATCCCACATCACACTCCTTAGCTTCCACTCGGAAATCCTCGTATCTTTCTCGGTTCGAATAAGACGCACACGAATTCTTTTACCTGTGACCTGCTGCACTTTGATCAGATCAGGCATTTGCTTCAAAAGCAGCACAAGCCGCTGATTCACACGAGCCTTTTGCCTTGCGGGCTTTGGAAGACCGTGGTTCTTCAACAGCACTCCCAACTGCTTCCGCGTTTTCAATCTCAGCCGTTCTTCGAGCTTCTGCAGGGAAATCCAGTGCCTGGATGCACCACCTTCTTTTAGCAATAGATCCTCTAGTGCTGCATGAACAGCGACTCTTAGCCTTGATTGGATAAGTCCAAGAGTTCGCATGTTGGCTTTCGACTGCACAAGCGAAACATTAAATGGCTTGTGCGGGTCTTCCCTTGTAAAATCCACAACGCCCTTTAGCGCAGAGATCAACTGATGCTCTCCATTGAACCCGTGGTCTTCGTACCTGAACTGATTCCCAAACACAGCATGATACAGCTTGTGAAATTGCTGGATGTTGCATGCTCCATGAGCACCAACGACAGTGACAAACTCGTATTTGAGCCGTGCAAGTTTTGGAACATTGCTCGTGAGAGTTGGCGGTGTCGAGCTTGTGGGGGAGGTGTGCGTGCTGGAATTGGTTGAAACCAACTTAACAGACGTTTCTGCAGATGATGGCATGAGGTCAGTCCTGCCGAGCAAGAAACCGCGCATGATAACTGAACCTGCCCGTACCTCACTGGTTTGGACGGACACGTTGGACTGCAGTAGAGCAGAGCGCCATTTCTCACTCTGATCCTGATTCTGCTTGGTGGTTAAGGAGAATAACGCGACTACTCTCACTCCCGTGCGAACCAGAGTTAAGATGAAAGGGAAGAAGTCTCGATCTTGAGAAAGTATGACCACCAAAGGATACTCATAACTGCTTGGGAAGCCAGGGGTGAGATATGCACATACAGGTCTGAATAAGAAAAAGAAGGCGGGGTGGTTGGAAAATTTGGAGAGAGGGAAAATGAAGAAACTACATGTACAACACTTACTTGGTCCCCGTGCAGTCCCGTCCAGAGTTCAGAAGGCATGCTATCTCCCTGAGCAAGAATCTTTCAGCGTCTTTTTTAATGGCGTTGTCTGCCATGTTTCTTCCAGGCGGAACTACCACCAGCTCAACGTTGCAGCGCCGAATTTCCTTTTGCTTCTTGAAGCACGTGTCCTGTCCGTACGCTCTGATCAGCTGCACGTCTCCTAGACCATCCGCAAACTTCCGCAGCTTGCAAACAATTTGTGAGGTCGACGCACGTTTTGGGACAGGAAGATTCTCGTAGTCCCAAAACACACCAACAGCAGCTCGATTCGTTGCCGGAGAACTCCAGGTAGAGCTCAGCTCCTTGAACGTGCTCTGAAGATCACCGGTGCTGGTAAGATGTCGATCTTTAGCCATTCATCTGGATCCAAGAGATACAGCAAACTTACTCTTCAGCGTGTCGCGTTCTAAAGTCGACAACCGAGTGAGTGTTCAGAGCGATGAATTGTTAAGTCTGGTCTTCCTCGAAGCTGGAAAAGCGGGATTGTACAAAGCACGTGAGTCCATGGTGGTGGTTGCCAGAACCCCAGAGAAACGAAACCACGAGAACCCTCATAGGTAATATGCGACCAAAGGAGGCTCACCGATACAGGCTGGTTGTACGGTGCAAATCTCGTTCTAGGGTGCTCGTTAAACAACCCCTCAAGTGCCGCTTGCAGGAACGAGAGTGCATCCATGGATGGTCTGCTTGCATGCGGATTCTTTCAAGTGATCTTCGGAGATCGATAACCCCCGAGGCAAAACTGGTTAGGGGGGAGATCCGCCAGTTTGAGATGCTGAAGTAAGGACGCCTCAGATTTGACACACCGTACCGAAATTGTGAGAATCGATCGCTACACGACCCAAACTGCGTGAGACACGATCCTTCTCAAGATCCATTTCTAACGGTGATAATAACGTTTCTGAGATTTTTTGAACGCTTGAATCAGGTTTCCAGTGCCGTGGCGGATCGATATCGGACGATCATAACGTGTCTTAGTTCATGCGAAAACTCACGAAGCCAGGATACACTGCCAATCAAGAAATCGCGAAGCCACTGTACACCAACACAACAGTCCTGCAGGTTCGATGTGTCAAATGTGACGCGTCCTAAGGGCGACATCAGGTTGTACAGATCTAACACGTTCACGGTTTTTGTATCGTGGCTCAGGACGGTTCCACACGGTAGAAAGCGGTTCTGACTGCTTACCGTTTTACACCGTGACGGAACGAAGTTGACCGCAGAGAGTGTACAAAAGCTGTACAACCTGACATCGCCCTAATTCCCGCTGACTAATGCCATCATTCTATTTGCAGAGGCCGTTTTCGCCTACTGTCAACTGCTTTCACACCTTTCAGATTTAGGGAGCATTGCACCTGTTCTCGCAAACTCTACTCTTACTCCCCTCTACCATTTGATCTCATGGCTCCTGATAACGCTGTCCTCGCCGCCGATCAACGACCGCCGATCGATCTCCTCTCGGACGACATTCTCTGCTCGATCCTTCGCGAAATCGCATCGGACGGCTCAAGTTTCTCGCACGCATTCGTCTGTCGCCGGTGGTTCCGCCTCGCGCTCCTCGCGCAATCCGCCATCCGTCTTCCCCTCGATCGCTGTCTCTCCGGGAGCGTGCTGCTTTCCGCCTCCGCGCGCTTCCCGCACCTCACGGCGATCTCCGCGCCTGATCGCGCGCTCGGGTTCATTCCCGTCCATTTCTTCACGGAACTTCCGGCGCATTGCCCGGAACTGACCAGCCTTCATCTCGGCAAAAGAATGGTCATGTTCGGTTTACTCAAGAGCGAGGAGCCAAGGGAAACTGGAGAGGATAGTGATTCAGGAGAACGGAATTACTTCCGTATGGAGTCGATTTCCGTTCCGTACGTTAAAGACGGAGATTTTCAGTCGCTGATCAGCTTATACCCGAAGCTAAAGGAGTTACACTTGGAAGAGTGTTTGGAAAACGTTATGTGGTTACCACAAGCGATGGCTAGCCATGGCTGTCTGGAGCAGCTGCTGCTGAAATGCTCCTCCCTGACCTCCCTCACACTCCCTCCGCCGTTCTGTCCTCCTGACAATCTCTCACTCCCTAATCCTCTCAGAAGCCCTAATTCCCTCACACCCCCTAATTCCCTCACACCCCCTAGTTTCCTCACTCCTGCTAGCACAGCCTCACCCTCCGCTGCCACTGGAACCATCGCGACCAAGCGAACCGACCTCCACCGCTTTGCACTCCCCCTCTCTCTCCGCCACCTTCACCTACAGTGCCCTTCGTTACGGTCACTCCCGGACTCCATCACCCTCCTCTCCTCCCTCACTCACCTCAGCCTCGTCTCCTGCTCCTCCCTCTCCCTCCTCCCCCCCTCCATCAACGCCCTCTCCTCCCTCACCTCCCTCACTCTCGACAACATCCCCCTCCTCTCCTCCCTCCCTCACTCCCTCGGTTCCCTCTCCTCCCTCCTTTCCCTCCACCTCTCGTCCCTCCCATCCTGCACCGAGTTACCAGAATCCATTGGGGATCTCCACTCGTTACAAGAACTCTCCGTTAGTAACTTTGGAGAGCTACAGGAACTGCCGTCGTCCCTCTCCCGCCTCTCCTCCCTCCGCCGCCTTACCATCGTCAACTGCGATGATTTGATCGCGCTGCCCGAAGGTTTCGGTCAGCTTGAAAGTCTGGAAGAGCTGACCGTGCAGCAATGCCATTGGCTGGAGTATCTACCCGCTTCCTCCTCCTCCCTCTCCTCCCTCACCCAACTGACCATCAACGACTGTAACTGCCTCACTTGCCTTCCTTCCACACTTGGCCTCCTCTCCTCTCTCAAATCCCTCAAACTATCCGACCTCCTCCTCCTCTCCTCTCTCCCCTCCTCACTCTCTCACATGAATCACCTCACCCTCCTCTCTCTCCATCGCTGCGACTCCCTCTCTAGTTTTCCTCCCTCTCTCTTCCACCAGCGGTCCTTGGAGCATCTCACGATAACCAACATGAAGCACCCTGTTCTCTCCTCCCTCCCCTCTGACTTCGGCCTCCATCTACCCCGTTTAAAGGAGCTCCGTTTAGCTGAGTACGATATTAACATGAAAAACCGACCGAGGGTCAAGGCACTACCTCCCTCGCTCCCCCAGCTTTCCTCCCTTGAGTTTCTCTCTCTCGCCTCCTTCGCCCATCTCTCTGCCCTGCCAGAAGACATCTCCCGCCTCTCTTCCCTCCACACGCTAGAAATCAAAGGCTGCTCCTCACTCACGGACCTCCCACCCTCGCTGCCCTCCCTTCCCTCCCTCACTCTCCTCCACATCCACAATTGCCCGCGCCTCTCCTCGCTTCCCTCCTCCCTCAGTGCCCTCTCCTCCTTGCAAGAGCTTAAGATTGAGCATTGCAGGAGTCTCCTTTCTCTCCCTCACTCCCTCCCGCTCCTCCCCTCCCTTCACACACTCGAACTCTCCTCCTGCCTCTCACTCTCCTCCCTCCCTTCTGACCTTTCCCTCTTAACCTCCCTTCACACACTCTCTCTCTCAGACTGCCACGCGCTTTCCAACATGCCATCCTCTCTCCCTCTCCTTCCCTCCCTCCACAAGCTCTCTCTCTCCTGCAGCGGTCTTTTGCATCTTCCCTTGGAGTGTGCATCTCTGCTGGGTAGCAGTCAGTCGGACAGTGAGAAAGGACTGTTGGGAATGGAAGGAGGAGGAGACGAAGCACCAGCGGCAGAAGCAGCAGCAGCAGCAGCAGCAGCTGCAGCAGCAGCAGCAGCAGCAGCACCAGCGGCAGAAGCACCAGCAGCAGCAGCAGGAAAAGCAGAAGCGGTGGTGGTGTTGGTTGCAGGGAAGGAGCAGGGGGCTGACCCAAGTGGGGATGCCGCAAGTAAGGATGCCACAAGCAGGGATGATACAAGTAGAGAGGGTGCTACTACAACAGCCGCCCTCCCCACCACAGCCGCCCTCCCCACGACAGCCGCCCTCCCCATGACAGCCATCCCCACTTCACCTGGGAGTAAGGTACTGCTGCGGTCGCTGCAACACCTAAATCTCTCCTACAGTCACCATATTTCCCAGCTGCCTCCCTCCCTCACACTCCTCCTCCACCTCACCCACCTCACGCTGCACTACCTCCCTCGCCTCTCCTCCCTCCCCACAGACATACACCACCTCTCCTCCCTCCAGGAACTCAAGATTGATTGTTGCCATGCCATTTCCTCCCTCCCCCCAACACTCCTCCTCCTCCCATCCCTCACACACCTTGAACTAGACACCCTCACCTCTCTCAACTCCATCCCCTCTCCCCCTATCCGTCCACCCTCCTCCCCGTCTCCCACATCCTCTTGCCCCTCCGAGCCCCCTTCTCACCCCTCTGGTTCCCCCATGTCCTCCTCGCTCCCACCTCACAATTCTGATTCCTCCACCTCCGCACGCCCTCGCTTCCCCATTCGCTCCATTGTTCTGCGCAATCTGAAGGTGGTCTCGCTCCCCTCGTGCTTCCCGCTCCTGCCCCATCTCACGTCTCTCTACCTGTTCGGAATGCAACAGCTGCGCTCAATTCCTTCCTCCTCATACACTGATGCTGGTGCTGATGATGATGATGATGATGATGGTGATGATGATGCTAGTGACGTTGGTGCAGCTGATGATGATGGTGCTGATGCTGCTGCTGCTGATGCTGCTGCTGCTGCTGCTGATGCTGCTGCTGATGCTGCTGCTGATGATGCTGCTGCTGATACTGCTGCTGATGCTGCTGCTGCTGATGCTGCTGCTGATGCTGCTGCTGATACTGCTGCTGATGCTGCTGCTGCTGCTGATGCTGCTGCTGCTGCTGATGATGCTGCTGCTGCTGCTGCTGATGCTGCTGCTGCTGCTGATGCTGATGCTGCTGCTGCTGATGCTGCTGCTGATGATGCTGCTGCTGATACTGCTGCTGATGCTGCTGCTGCTGCTGCTGCTGCTGCTGCTGCTGCTGCTGCTGCTGCTGCTGCTGCTGCTGCTGCTGATACTGCTGCTGATGCTGCTGCTGCTGCTGATGCTGCTGCTGCTGATGCTGCTGCTGCTGATGCTGCTGCTGATGATGCTGCTGCTGATACTGCTGCTGATAGTGATGCTGATGAGGATGATTATGATTATGATGATGATGATTATTATTATGATGATTATGATGATGCTGTGGGAGCAGAGCGACAGTGGGGGGATAGTGGTGCGGATGAGGAGGAAAGTGAGGGTTCTGAGAGTTGGTGGGGGAGTGGAGAGGACGCAGAAGAAGAGGAGGGAAGTGAGGGAAGTGGGGAGAGCTCGTGGAGCATGGAGGAAGGAGAACTGGTGGAAGTCTTTCAGGATAGGTGGCGGGGGGGCGCTAGGGAGGCATTGCAGAATGAGAGTTTGTGGCACGATCTGTTGCAGTACGGGGACCTTATGGAGTGGCCGAGCCTGCAGAAATTGACTTTGAATTTCTGTTTCAGCCTGGAGTACTTGCCGCCCTCGTTACAGTATGCACCACAGTTAAGGGAAGCGCATGTTCGGGAGTGTTTAAGTCTTAAAGGCAAACGCGGGATATGGTAGGCTGTATACTATAGTAGTTTTTTTGGCTGACATTCGATTGTCTGGCATGGTACAGGTGTGATGTGTGTGGAATGGAGGAAAGGTCGTGTGGATGGTAATCCATCGATGGTTTGGCCTGGAGAAAAGGCTGAAACAAGATACAGGCAGTGTTCAATGATATGCTCTTTTTGTTTGAAAGTGGATTGAGCTAAACATTATGGCGACTGTTATGAGTTTTACTAGACAGAGTTGTTACGAATAGTAATATTTGATATTACTGTGCACTCCTCACCGCAGCAAAGAGAAGCACGCAACGCGAACCGTCAGACGGTTGGAATTGACTCGAAGCGACGGACAGTTGGAACGCATCTGGACCGCTGGAAGCAGACGGCATCGGGCAGCTGCAGGCAGGATGGTTTTGGCGGGAACAGTTACGAAACTGTACGCGCCGCACGGTTGGGAGTGAATTTAAATAAGGGAATGTACCCCTTAGAGTACATGGCTAGATAGGTATGTTCGCATTGTCAAAAAGACTAGGCAAGAATGATTGAAAGGAGAGGGGTTTCACTAGCAGCAGTTGGGGTACATATAGCAAACCCTAACTGGGTTGTACTCGCTATAGAGCACCCCACTACAGGCTAGACAATAATAACATTCTGACACACCCCCATAGCCAAAGTGGGGTGTAATCAGTACAATGAGCAGGCATAGCAATAGTTCACAATTATAAGCAAAGCTAGAGGTGATCATAGAGGGCAAGTGAGGAGGAGGAGAAACTGTGAGGGCGAGAAGATGAAAGGCGCCGACTGAAGCTGCAGACACACGGGCAACAGGAGCGGCGCGCACAGTGGCTACCGAGCGCACGAGGGCACCGGACTACGGGAGTATCTGGCTCCGCGGCTACGACGAGCACACACAGGAGCAACGGACCCACAGGCGACTGGCGAAGCAGGCTCGCTGGGCTACCGAAACGCGCGAGGGCATCCGGACTACTGGCGCTGCTGGCGTCACGACGGCTACCTCCACGCAACCTCCCCCGACCGTCCCACGCCCCTCTCACACACCCCCTGCTGACACCCTAGCTCCACTTCCACGGCACCCCCCTTAAACCCTAAACCCTCGGCTCCCACACACCCACCCCCCTCAGCGGCAGCTGCAGCAGTGGGAGACGGAGGAGGAGGAGGAGCCGCAGGTTACCCACACCGGTCACCCCCATGCCCGCCACCCCCAAACCCTAACGCAGGCAGGAGCGCGGGAAACAGCAGGGGCGGGGCACGGAGGGAAAGGGAGGCAGCGGGGTGGCTCTTGGGCGCCACGAAGAAGCAGGGCGCGGGCCCCCCGAGGGCGCCACGGCGGGTGACGGGAGGGGGGCCGCGCACGGGCCCCCGAGGGCGGCTCGACGGGCGACGGGAGGGGCCGCGCGCGGGCCCCCTAGGCGCCGCGACGAGGCGACGGGAGGGGGCGGCGCGCGGGCCCCCAAGGTGCCGCGACGAGGCGACGGGAGGGGGGGGACGCGCGGGCCCCCAGGGCGCCGCGACGAGGCGACGGGAGGAGGACGACGGGGGGCAGCGCGCAGGTCCCCGGGGGCGCCACGACGGGCAGGAAACCGCCGCGCGCCTCGGGGCGCACGGCGGGCAGAAAACCGCCGTACGCCCTGAGCGCACGGCGGGATGAAAAACCCTAAGAAGACGGCGCGCGCCCGAGGCGTGCGAGAAGCAGAATAGCAGCGGAAGCAGTTAGGTGGCGGGCCCACCCACAGGATCGACCTGCTCTGATAGCATGTCAAAAAGACTAGGCAAGAATGATTGAAAGGAGAGGGGTTTCACTAGCAGCAGTTGGGGTACATATAGCAAACCCTAACTGGGTTGTACTCGCTATAGAGCACCCCACTACAGGCTAGACAATAATAACATTCTGACACGCATTCCCTTGTACTCTTATTTATATGACCTTGTTTGCATGTTTTTATCATCTCAAGCATTTACATTCACTCTGCTATTGAGATCAAGGGCCCACCAACTATTCTCACTGCGTGCGAACCTTCCTGGGTAGATCCCGGCCTACGATCAATCTCTGATCGCAGCATGGTATGAGAGCGGCTTACAAATCCTTCGCACTGCCACTCCCGAAAATTGCGACATTCGGAAAGTGGCGTCCGGCACACGCTCACGAGTGAAGATGGCCGGAGGATCTGGTGGTCAGACCAATCTGACGGCTGAAGCGCAACCAAACCCGGCTGCGACAAGCGAGAACACGACGACCGAAGTTCTCGCACAACTTCTTCAGCGACTCACCAGCTTGGAGCAAGGGCTCCAAACATTGCGGAATGGCGATGCGGGAACATCCTCGCAACCCTCTCAACCGGCCCCGACTGGCCAGAACGCCACCCCGCAAACTTTCTCCCTCGACACCAATGGCTCAACCCCCAAGACTCCCCGTCCCAGTGAAGAGGCAATTCTCTCCGCTCAATCAAGGTTCCTCAGCATATCAAAAATAAAGACAAGTACCTGTTTTGACGGCAGAGACTTTTACACCTGGAGCTTCGAGCTGGAGCTTCGAGCTGGAGCTCCTGCTTCAGAACGCCCAGATCTTCCACTATTTCGACGGGAGCTACGCGGAGCCTGCTGAGGACACCGACGACGCCAAGGCGCGGTATTACAACGAATCGCTGATGGCGTACGGGGTGCTCCTGCGGAATATGTCGGCGGCGGAGCAGCTCAACATTCGTTCATACAAAACCACAGCTGCTCCAGCCCTTAACGCCTGGCGGCACCTGACAGGAGTCTACCAGCCCAAGGACTCTGTCTCTTCGAGCCGACTACTCCAGGAACTCCTGGAAACCAAGATGACTGCAGGGAAGAAAGTCAACAATTACCTTAACCGCTGTCGGAGCCTTCGCGATCAAATCGTGAAGTTGGGAAGCACGATTTCAGAAGAAATCTTCGTCAACATCGTGCTTCAAGGGCTCGGCCCAGAGTGGCGGCCCTGTAAGGCGTCACTCCGACAGCAGGGGGTCATCTCGGAGGCCGCCCTTTGCGCCGCCCTTCTCGTCGAACAAAGGGATATGGACCAGCAGCGACCAGCGCCGCGACGAGAACGCGAACGGCTCGCCTTCTACGCCGACAACACTGAAGAGCGAAAGCCACGGCGCCTCTACTGCAAGATCTGCAGAAATTTCGGGCACCTGGCGGATCGATGCAAGAACCGATCCCGCCCTCGCCAATGCGCATATCAGGTACGTGCGGGGCCAACGCGAGCGGAGGATGGGGCGCCGTACCTACCGCCGCAGACAGCGGCTGGGGCACTTCCCGCGAAGAACGAAGGGGGGGAGAGGACATTCGCGAAGAAACCGAAGCAGCACCTGCAGTCGTTCCTCTCGGTCGTCCCCCGCGTCACATCCCGCTCGCACCACCCCCTGCAGACATTCCCCCGCGTCGCGACCCTTGGGACACCATCATCTGGGGCAACGAGCCGTCAACCCCGCGTCGCACTGTCTACGGACCTGCCCCTGAGCCACGCCAACCTACCTTAGTCCCTGGAACTATCCCTGGGACCAACATCCCACTCTCTGACATTCGCGACAGAGAGTTCTTGGCGCTGATGCTGACTACCGCGGCAGAAGAAGAAGAAGTCGAAGAAGTAGCGGCAGAACCTGCTCCTGTACCTGACGAAGACCCTGAAGAAGCGCGCGCGCGCTACATGCGCACCTCCGGCTTTCGCGCTGACGATGCCCTCTGGCATCAGCGCCTCGGACACCCTTCCCGCGCGACGCTGAAAAACTGCATCGACGCAGGCGTCTTCGCTCCTGGCGCACTCCTGCGCCCTGATGGCTCCGAAGTGAGCGGCGCGACACACCCGCGCAACTGCACCGTCTGCCCCGAAGCCGCGCTGAGTCACCAACCGTTCCCGCTGCTCGAACCTGGAACCAACCGCTACCCCAAGCTGCACAAGGTGTACAGCGATTTCCTGAACGTGGGGCATTGCGGAGTCGAGGATGAGCTATACACGCTCACCTTCATTGACGCTGGAACGCGCTATGTGTGGGTCGTGAATGTGGAGTCGCGAGACAGAGCCTACGAGGTATTTCGCCTCTGGCTGCCGCACGCGGAGCGGCAATCTGGGAAGAAGCTTAAGATTTGGCAATCCGACGGCGCGGCAGAGTTCAGGAGCAATCAGATGCAGACCTTCCTGGCACAGAAGGGGATCGAGCACCACATCTCTCTCCCCTACGCACACCAACAGCAGGGCGTAGCTGAGCGGACGAACCGCACACTAATGACGAAGGTGCGCGCGCTGATGAAGCAGTCGAAACTGCCGCCGATCTACTGGACCTACGCTATGCACCACGCCGTGCGGGTGCACAACCTGCTTTCGACCACCGCCATCACCGGCAATCTGTCCCCGCACGTCAAGTGGACCGGGACTAAGGGGGACACATCGATGCTGCGCGTATGGGGATGCATGGTGCAGTACCGCCCGCCAACGTCAACTATTGGCAAATTCGCCAGCCGCGCGCGCTGGGGAATTCACCTCGGCATCAGCCACGAACACAAGGCGTGGATCGTGCTGGACCTCCTCAGTCAGAAGACTGCCAACGCTCGCGACGTCATATTCTACGAACGTCTCTTCCTCGACCAATTCCGCCGCGACGAGCAAGCGAACGCGAATCGCGTCTATACCAACGATGGCCACAGCTACGCAACGCCTGAAGACGAAGCCGCTGCAGCAATCCTGGAGCAGGATACAAGGGGAGAATTCGCATGGGAGGATCGGCGAAGCAGCGACGACGACGACGACTCCTCTGGAGGAGGAATCGGCGGAGCAAGTGGAAGCGGAACAGGCGGAAGCGGCGGAGGCGCAGCACCACCAGCACCTGACCCTGAAAGCGACGACGACGATGTGCAGGAAGTCGTCCCGCAACATCGCCACGACAGCACCGTCTCGGGACTGCAGCTGCTCGGACTTCACGCTGCAACCTCGAAAGCGCCACGCGTCATCG